TGAGTTAGACCATTTCACTTCATCCTTCCTATCTTGCACCCTCTCTTCCCCTTTTACTATCTTTTCCAATTTGGGTATTTTCTGTGACCTATATTCCATGTCACTAATTCTCTCTTCAGCTGTGTCTTATTTGCTATTAAACCCATCCATTGAATTCTTCTTGTGTGTTTTTGTCTTTCAGAATTTCTATATTTATTTTTATTTTTTATTTTTTTGGTGAGGAAGATTAGCCCTGAGCTAACACCTGTTGCCAATCCTTCTCTTTTTGCTGAAGAAGGTTGGTCCTAGGCTAACATCCATGCCCATCTTCCTCTACTTTATATGGGATGCCGCCACAGCATGGTGTGACAAGTGGTGTGTTGGTGTGCACCTGGGATCCGAACCTGTGAACCCCGGGCCGCCAAAGTGGAGTGCATGCACTTAACTGCTGCGCCACGGGGCCGGCCCCAATTTCTATTTATTTTTTATAGTTTCTATATCCTTGTCATAGTTTTCAATCATTTCTTTTACCTCTTTGAGCAAAATAAGCACAGTTTAAAATCTGTGTCTAATAATACTCTTATTGAGAGCTTCTATAGTTCTGTTTGTAAAGGCCTGATATTAGGTATGAAAACTGCAGAAATACCGTGAAGCCTGGGAATGTGTCCTTTCCCAGAGAGCCTTTACATTTGCTCCTGGCTGGAGGCTGCAGTGCTGGTGGTCTGGGGCATCTCCATCCAGTTTCAGGATTTGAGGGATTCAGCACAGGCTTCAGCCAGTTGACCTGGATTTTATACTTATTTCTAGGGATTGGTCCTTTGGATTCAGAACCGTGGTGAGGGGTTTCCTAGTTTCCCTATGGTAGCTCTGGACTTCATGTTTTGTCCCACCAGCCCTGAGAGAGTCGAGAAGCTCTGACCCGGGTTTTGAATGCTCCTCTGGAATCGCCAGCTGCTTGGGGACAGGCTGCTCACTCACGGGCTGTTGGTCTCCGGGGCTTTGCTTGTCGTTCTTTAGTCCCTTGGTAGCTCACCAGTGACTTTGAACACATGTCGTTTGTTTTTAATTTTGTCCAGCTTTTTAAAAAACATTGTCTTAGCTGGTGGGTTGGTCTGAATTGTCTGTTACATTTTTAAATATTCTATTTTGAAGTAATTATGGCCTCATAGGAAGTTATAAAATTAGTGCACAGAGCCCCGTGTATCTGTCACCCAGCTTCCCTCACTGATGGCATCTTATCTTATAGTTAATGTCAAAGCCATGATATTGATATCAGTACCATACCATAACTAGACTACAGACTTACCTAGTTTTCACGTGTGTTCATGGATGATGCGTCTAGTTCTATGCAGCTGTGCTTAGGTGTGTATAACCAACACCTCAGTCAAGATACAGAACTGCTCGTTCACCACAAGGACCTCCCTCCTCTCGCCCCCTTCATTCACTCCCTGTCCCCTGACAGCCACTAACTGGCTGTCTCTACAGTCTTTCATTTCAAGAATGTCATGTGTGTGGAATCACATGGTGTGTAAGCTTTTGAGGTGGACGTTTTCCATAACCATAGTGCCCCTGAGGTCCCTCTGGATTGTTCAGTGTTAATGGCTTCTCCTTTTTTTTTTTTTTTTTTGTGAGGAAGATCAGCCCTGAGCTAACATCCATGCTAATCCTCCTCCTCTTGCCGAGGAAGACCAGCCCCGAGCCAACATCTACCGAATGGCTTGTCCTTTTTATCCCACTGTCTGCTTGTACCAGAGTTAGTTTTAATTATTCACTCATTTAGGGACGTTTGGGCTGACTCCAGCTTTTACTATTATGAATAAGGCTGCCAAGAATATTTGTTTTTGTGTGAACATAACTTTTCATTTCTCTGGGATAAATGCCCAAGAGTTTCATTGCCTAGTCCTATCGTAAGTGTACGTTTTGTTTTCTAAGAAACTGCCAAGACTTCCAGTGTCTGTGCCATTTTACGTTCCCACAAGCAGTGTACGCGAGTTCCAGTTTCTCCACAGCCTTGCCAGCATTTGGTTTTCTCACTGTTTTTAACTTTAGCCTTTCTGATAGTCGTGTAGCGATATCTCACTGTGGGCTTAATTTGCATGTCCCTAATGGCTAGTGAACTGGAACATCTTCTCATGTGCTGTTTTTTTTTTTTTAACTTGATACGATGCCTTTAAAGTTTATATGCAGGTCGAATCTCTAAGAAAATTATTTAAAAAAAAGTGAGGACTTGGATTTCCTAGTCCTTAAAACATACTGTAAAACTACTCTATTCAGAACAGAATGGCATTTTCTTAGAAGCAGGCAAACAGATTGGTAGATGGAAGAGAGAATCCAGAAACAGATTCTGACATAAAGATACAGATGGACTTGATATGTGACAAAGTATTTCCAACCTTGGGGAAGAGGATAGCTTATTGAATGAATGGCAGTGTCACAAAAGGCCATGTGGAAGAAAGTAAAATTGTGTCTTTACCTCATACATATCCCAAACTAAACTTCTGATTAACTAAAAACTTAAGTACAAAAAATAAAATTAAAAAAACTTGAAAGAAATTTTAGGAGAAATAGTATAACGTCAGTCTCTAAAAAACTTCTCAATTTGGAAATTTTCAAATCTACACAGAAGCAAAGAAAAATAGTGTAATGAGCCCCATGTATCTGTTCTCCAGCTTCAGTATTTGCTACTCTTGTTTTATCTGTTCCCTCAACACATTCCTTCCAGTCTCCTGCCCCAGAATCGTAAAGCAGATCCAAACACCATGTCATGGTAAAACTTCATTGGATAGTTCTAACTGGTAAGGGCTATTTTTTTGGATTTTTAAAATTTGTTTTGTTTTATTTTTGGCTCTTGGCACATAACCACTTAGCAGAATTGACAATAGTTCCACAACTAGAAACTTGCAATAGTTCCACAACTAGAAACTTGCAATAGAAAATAGTTAATGTTTGTTTAAATAAATATTAAAAGCTTTTGTATAGAAGAATATACCGTGCATAAAGTCAGTAGACAAAATATAGATTTAGAGGAAGTACTTGTATTGCAGTTGAAAGATAAAGTTATTATTTATAGGCTGCAAAGACTTCTTAAAATTGCCAATAAAAGGTAAGGAATCCAATTGAGAACTGGGCAAAGCAGAATATGAACATTTCACCCAAGTGTGTGGTGTCTACGGTGGTATGGTCCTCTGAGCACAAGGAAGGTCTGGGAGCTCAAACTCCAGGTCAAGCCTGGACTTCAGTTAGAAGAAAGGGGTGTCCCTACGAAGGTGGCGTTGTTTTCTCATTTCTGTGGAGGTGTGTCAGGTGGGTGCATGCACAGTTGTGCAGTGAAGGGCGATCACCACAATGTCAATGGTAACTTTTTCCATCTTACATTTTTCTGTAGTGTTAGGATTTTTTCAGCAAATATGATTTATACAATCAAGAAAAGCCACTAATGCTATTTTCATTTTAGTGTAACAGAAATGGCAGGTGCAGGGGCTGCGCTCTTTTTGTATTGTGTGTGGGCAATATGAGGAGAGGAGTTATGCATGGTCATTTTGGGGGGTATGTGGCGTGCTGGGGGAGCAGGCCAGGCTTGCTGGGAAGTACTGGGGGCCTGTCCCAGGTAGGTGGGCAGAGTGGAGGGGAGAGTGCCGATAACTGGCGTGGTTCAGACGGTGGGCATGGCCTGCCCTCTGGCCCTCCTCACTGAGGCGCAGGGCCTCTCTTGTTGGACCCCCATGCAGACGGTCGGGACCTTCACGGTGAGGCTGCCAGAGAGAAGCTTGGAGGTTCTGGTCTTTGATCCACGTTTCCAGTTTCCCATGCAGCGGGTTGGTCTGTAACCTGTTGGTTACATTGGGCCACATCCCTGCCCGGGGAAGTGGTGATCATTTCTCCATTTAAAACTGACACTGCACTATTCATGGAGTCAGGAGTTCACCAGAGCTTTCAGCACCGCAGCTGGTCCAGGGGCCATCCTGGTGAGGGTAATAAGCATTATCTCCTCCTGCAGCTTGTGCTCTTGGTCTGACCTTGTCCTGACCCCTGGTGGACCTGTCCCCGGGTGCTCACCTGTCCTACCCCTGTGGACCCCTTGTGCTCACCTGTGCTACTCCTGGTGGACCCCCCCCCCGGGTGCTCACCTGTCCTACCCCCTGGTGGAGCCTGGGTGCTCACCTGTCCTACTCCTGTGGACCCCCGGTGCTCACCTGTGCTACTCCTGGTAGACCCCCGGTGCTCACCTGTCCTACTCTTGGTGGATCCCCCCTGGGTGCTCACCTGTCCTACCCCCTGGTGGACCCCTGGTGCTCACCTGTCTTACTCCTGGTGGATCCCTGGTAGATCCCTGGTGCTCACCTGTCCTACCCTTGGTGGATCCCCGGTGCTCACCTGTCCTACCCCTGGTGGACCCCTGGTGCTCACCTGTCCTACTCCTGGTGGATCCCTGGTAGATCCCTGGTGCTCACCTGTCCTACCCCTGGCGGATGCCTGGTAGATCCCTGGTGGTCACCTGTTCTACACCAGGTGGACCCCCGGGTGCTCACCTGTGACAGGAGCACTTCCTCCGTCTTTGGAGACCCCTTTTCTCTCATGTGAGCTTACTTCTCTGGGGTACTTGTCTCAAGCAGGTGCCTGATGCTCTGCTATAGGTGCTGGTTACTTGTAGATGTTGATGGCCCTGCTAGCCTACGAGTCCTCTGAATTGTCAGTCGTCCCTGGGGATTCGTTTTGGGGTCACATCTGTAGCTGCCACATGGAGCTCTCTTGACTGGGTGGGGCTCTCTGAAGCGCACTCGGTTTACATGATTCTGGTGGGTCCTGGAGCTGCCTCTGTCCCCAGGGCCAGGTCTAGAGCAGGTTCTTCAAGGCTGTACAGCTGAGGGCTGGGTGGACACCAGCACTGAGGCCCCTGGAGCAGGCAGGGTAGGGGCCAGGAGGGGCTCAGTGCTGCCACACAGGACTCAGATCCAGCAGGGCACGCGCTGTGACGGGCACTTCTGGAGAAATGACACTGCATTTATCCTTTTTCTTCCTAGTGTGCGTTTTAATAGAAAACTTGTCCCTTTCCAAAATGCCCTTCAGAGGTGATGCTGTAATTGGTAAGTGTTTTTCCTGTCAGTGACTCATAGCATTTTCTTCCAGAACTACTTCAAGTTAAAAAGTAAAAATGAACCTGTTAGGTTGGATGATAAAGTTTCATGATATTAGAACACCTTGTTTTCACATTGCTACACGATCTGGTTGTAAATCATGAGCATGTGCCACACTCTTCCATGCTCAAAAAGACACGAGTATCTTCTTCTTCTCTTCCGAGAGGTCAGGTTCCTTCCTCAGAGCTCCCGGCTGTGGTTTTGCCCGTCACAGCTTTGCCCAGTGCTGACCATTCTTGTCCGTTCCTCTCCCAGATGGACGGTGCAGGCCTGAGGCGCACAGGGACTCATAGGACTAGAGGAGCGCTAGCAGCAGGCGCCGAGGCCTCCCCAGGCAGGAGGTGCGAGAACTAGCTTTTGTGGCCGTGGAGGCCGGGCCCCTGTGCAGGCCTGGATCCCCTCCATGTTCCGTGGCACCTGGCCACAGTGAGGCAGTAAGAAAGGGGCCTCGGATCACCTTCACCAGTGGCTGGCTGTCTTCACTCTGCAGCCTTAGAAATCCTGTGACTTAAAAAAAAAACAACTGGATAGATTCAGCATTTGTTGCCTAATTGAGTTAAATGTTTGGGTTTTTATTGGTGGGGTCCCTGGGAGGAGAGTTGGAGGGACAGGTACAGGAAGAGACCACCTGAGGCTTACAGGTGTAATAAAAGAACAAAGATTGTCCCATGGTAACAGTTTTAACATTTCAACAGCCCAAAGAAGACTTGCTCCCTTTAAATTGAGAGGGCCTTTAGAATCTTAGATGCCCTGGAGAAGGTTTACTGTAGATTTTCTGCAGAATCATCTCACAGGTTACTGTCTACTTTGATTTAAGAGGTAGAAAAAGATCTGTTTGTTGTTTCTAATTTCATCTAAATATTCTTAATCGAGTAAATAAATTTTTTTCTTTAACAGATGGTTGGCAGTGGCTGATAAATGACACTTTGAGAAACCTCCATCTTATTTCAAGTCATTCTAAACAACAGATTAAGGTGTGGTAAGCCAAGATTTTAACGACCGTTGCGTTGTACAGAAAGTGACATTAATTATTATTTTTAGTGTTTGAAAGGACTGTGTGCATTATGAGTCCCTTTTACACACTAGCGTGATAACTGATAAATGTCATAGTTATATTTAGAGTTCTAGGTGGTATTGTCTGTGTAATTTATAATCAGGAAAACAAATGCAGCCATTGGTAACCAGAATATTTAAATTTTTTTATTACTGTTTCTGGTTTTATTATATTCAACTTGAAGCATTTTTTCTATACGTCAAGAGTAATTCCTTGTTGAGTTGAGTTCTGTGTCCTGTTTAGTTGTAGGATTTTAGGGAGGGAAACTTCGCTCCTGATGCTCATATACAGATGAGAAACCGCAGTCCAGGGTCTGCCTGCACGGATCAGGGTTGGCCATTTTGAGCAAGCAAGAAAGTGTGTGTGTCCCAGGGGCTGAGTGCCACTGCTGTCCTGTTCTGGGACAGGGGAACCTCGGACTAGCAGAACTGTAACGCTTACCCCTTACAGAGAAGAGAGCATGGGTACTGATAACAACTAGGCTTTGGTATTGAGGATGAAGAAATGAAATATCTGCTGGTCTCTTTTATAACTGTCTAGCCTCCTTTGTGTCTTAGCATTTCCACTGGGTTAGTAGAATGCATCTTCAACTTCCTTTTTTTTTTTAAGTAACTTGATCATTCTGTGGAATCCAAGTACAGTTTTACTAGTTGAATTTGAGTGGCTCATGATCAATGCCTCAAAATTTCCTTTTTAAGACATATCCATAATTGATTCACACCAGCAGTGACCATGGTACATATTTCTCCGATATGTACCAGTGACATCTGGATGTGAGCTGCATTCCGTGGGCCCTCCCTGTGCTCACAGTCCCACACTGCTGGCCCCAGCACCCCTCCCCAGGGCTGCTCTGTTGGCCTTGGCTCCCTGATTTGGGGGAGCAGGAGCAGTAGAAAGAACACACAAGCCCAGCATTTGCCCATTGCTGTCTGTACGATCATGAGAGGCCTACGCCGAGCTCAGGCTCCTCCTCTGTGGACAGTGGGGGTGTTCAGGAGAGGGCCAGTGAGTGCCTGCGTGCCACACGAACTCAGAGGCTGCTGTCACGTCTGCTCCGCTCTCCTCTCCTCAGCTCTGTCCTCCATCCTGCTCTGCGGCTCCTGGTGGTCCTCGGGATTGGTGCCTGAGGAACTCATGGTCCCTCCTCGTCCAGCCCCCATCCCGTTCCCAGCGCCCCTGGGCCCCGACTCCTCTCTAAACGAAGCCTGTACACAGCTCGCCTGGAGTCCTTGCCCATGTTACTTCTGGGTGTATAACACACACTTTTTCCTTCATTACTTCTGCTGGAAAAGAAAAAATGCCCCATTTTATGACTAACTGTTCCCATTAGAAGATGTGGGATTTCATTGTGTGGAAGAAACAGTGAAAGTTTCTGTTCAGTTTATTAGCAGGTGCCCTCACCTTCTGCTTTGCTTTAGGAAGCGGCTGTCTCGGCACTGGCCGCTCTCTGCAGCGAGTACCGCACGGAGGAGGCCGGGGAGGCAGATCCCGCCTGGCAGGGTGAGTGGGCACGCAGAGCACCGGACCCTGGGATCCTCCAGGAAGCTTGGGTGTGCGGGTGCCACGGTGTGGACCCGGGTCTGGGCAGGGAGAGTGCCGGGCAGGAGAGTGTGGCCAGGACCTGGGCTGGGCGGTCAGCAGAGACGAGGGTGGGTGGTGGGTGGAGGGGCTGCAGGGACGCGTCGCCCCTTGGCTGTCCTCTCGGATCCTCCGGTTTTGCATAGCTATCCAGAGGAGCTTCTCTTTCACTCTGAACAAGTAGCTTCGCTAGGCCACGTCCTGTGTTGGCTGTACTGCGGTAGCCTTTCCTAGACATGGTGCTACTGTTAATTATGTAAAACCAACTCTTTTTCAGCAACGTTTGCTTAAATTAGGTTTTTAAGTAAACTTTCCCATTTTGTGCTTGGAGGTTCCAGTTACATGTGGGGGCTCCTTGTCTGTCTGCCATGTAGACGCCTTCCCCATTCCATTTGTCCCTCCTCATGTTTCTGTCCATCTGTCCCCTGTGTTCCTCGTGTCTGTTCTCCGGTTCCTTCATTTTCCTTGTTGTGGTGACTCTTTTCTGATCCCTGCCCCCTACGTCTGTTAGCTCAGAGCTGTCTGCTTCTGTCTTGCCAGGTCCTCCTGATTCCATGCTTTCTCCTTGGAGTCTTTATTCATGTCATTGCTTACTTCATTGGCTTTTATATTTTATGGTTAAATATGCTTTCAGAATTTTCATTGGCACTATGGCAGCATTTTCCTGGCCAGTGTCGTTCACGTGTTAACACATTTTTGCTCTTTTCCTCTTTACAAAAACAGTGTCTGTGTAGCTGCCTCGCCACATCAGTTGGGTTTTCTGGAACCACCTCTGTCTGGAATTTATCTGATACATCATATGATACTGTCTGTAGGATCTGTTCATGAGTATTATTTTTTATATTAAAAAACTTCATACTCACGTTAGGTTGTCTTGTGGCATTCCTTCCTATCATTTTATAGAACACACATTACAATTGCTTCAAAAGTATACGAAATGCTATTTTAAATAAGTGTATAGAAATCGTGTGTGCAAGTAGTCTAAATCTACTTTCTGTGATTTTTTTCAAAATAAGAAAATATTCTGTAATTTGATCTTCTGACAGACTTTCCATATTAGCGATGTTTTACTGTATCCCGTTACTAACGTAATTTTACATAAAGAGACAGTAGTGTTATTCTGTATTTAGTCTATGTTTAAAAATTGGGATGATAAGGTCATGTTTTACTTTTTGCCTGAGAAGAAAGGACCACATCACGTCACACTGAATATTAAAAACTTGAGATTCTGAAATTAACCTTTGACATGTTGAAACTCAGTGAATTGTGAAGAGGATGGAGGTGCCTTTTTTCTGGCTGCCACCAATCTGTAGTTCCACCCAAGATGTCACGTTAGGATGTGTGCACGTGGACTCCAGCTTTATTTTTTTCTATCCTAATATATGAGGGTCTAGGGAGCACATTACTAAGGTTTTCATGTACACATGTTAAAAAAGTCATGGTTTGTTAAAATTTAAGCAGTCATAACAAGAACCTCTTTGGTGACAGCAGGTAGGACACATCAAAGGTGTCCAGCCTCCCTTCACCTCCTCAGCCACGTTTTAAAGAACAGATCTGGCTGTTCCACTTCCCTCCTTAGAATTCCTTAATCCCGCCCTGACCTTCCTGTGCCTGCTCTCCCTCTCAGCCTCTGCTCCTGTTCCTGACAACTTGCTTTTCCCTCTGAGGAAGCGCCCATTTCCACACTGCTGTGCTCTCATGAAGCCCGATCTCACTGCCCTCTGCCCTTTTCCTGCTTCACGGAGGGCATCTGCGGGGAGCAGCCCCACACTCCCACCGTGCGTCAGTCCCGTGGAGCCCATCAGCGGGAGCTACGTTTGCCCCCAGGCTTGCAGCAGCACTCTCGCCACTGAGGAACGGGTCATTTGCACAATAAGCCTTTGTGTTCTTAGTGAATAAAAAACGAAAATTATGACTATAGCGACCATTCTTAAAACTCTCTTAGATTTATTTTCCTAAGAGTGAAATCATGTATTAAAATTATTTATGAAAACCTTAAAATCACTGAATAAAAATTCTTAAGTCTGTTTTGATTTATACCACTTTGAAAATACATCTGCTTCAGGAGCCTAAAGTGGCCCCTCTCTTCTTCCAGCACTTGTGCTTGTGTTTCTGAAATACAGGTGACGAGTGTGTATTGTCAGTAATGGACAGTGTGGGCCAGCTTCTTGTTACTTCTTTTCAGAGGAGCTGATAAAGCAGTATCTCGCTGAACTTCAGAGCCCAGAGGAGATGACTCGCTGTGGCTTCTCGCTAGCCTTGGGCGCCCTTCCAGGCTTCGTTCTGAAAGGCAAGCTCCAGCAGGTGAGGCTGATCTGAGCTGGAAGAGGGGTGTCCATGTGTGGGGTCGTGGGTTAGGTTAGGGGGCATTGTGTGAGACCACACATGGGGCGGGAGGTGGTCAGACCATTAACAAATCCAGTGTTTGCTGTTGGGGAGGAATTCCTGAAAAGCAGCACCTATGGCCATGAGAAAGGGAATGGGGACCAACCAAAGTAACAGTCCTTTACAGCACCTGGTTAACATCCTCCTGTGAAAGTAAAGACCCAGAAAGCTGAGTCTGGTTTGTAGGAGGGGGTAGTGTTTGAGGGAGAGACTCTCTGCCTCTATGGAACACATTTTTGCCTTTACACGTTTGTGATCCATCATCCAGTGTTTTCTTTGTCAGAAATGAATGTCTCCAGCCTCATCTGGAGATGCCGGCTGTGCCCTGTGGCCACGATTGAAGGGTGCTGGGTCTGCACAGAGGCCTCGCCCCAAATGTCCCTTCCATCCCAGGAATTCCTCCTTGTGAAGCACGTCCCATCCCTGATGGGAGCTGTCCCGGACCTGCCTCTCCCCAGCGTCCGGCAGGGCCCTGAGCCTCTGTCCCGGCCTGAGGAGGCTCTGCTTGCCTTCAGGAGGACAGAGGACTGTTGGTGTTCGGCTTCCTGTGGGTGCTGAGCCTCACCCTCACAGCTGTGGTGGCCTGGGGCGGAGAGTGCAGCGGGCAGAGCTCTACCTGGACAGAAACGCCGTGGGCCTGGGGTCTTGGGATCTAGACTTTGAATGTGTGCACTGCAGAGCCCACTGGAGCCGGGCCCTGGGCAGGGAGCTCTCCTCCTGCCTCGGGCTCTGCCTGGGCACTGCCAGCCCTGCTCTGTCTCCGTCTTGAGAGGCTGAAGGAGGTTTCCTCTGCCACCTCCTCCCCTGTGAAGGCCGAGGGCCGAAACAGTGTGGGCTTGTTTTTGGCCTCGGTGAGAACTGGGCTTGTGGCTCCTCTCGCTCCGTTGCCTGCGCCTGAGGCAGCTCTTGGGTCCTCACCCCTGGGGGTGCTGTTCGTTGTCGGGGCACCCCTCCTCTGTGAGCCACGTGCTCCTCCCACCTCCCTTTCTCCCTCCTGCCTGGCCCTTCTTGGTCTCCTTGGGTTCACCCTGAGACGTGGTTGCCTTGAGCTCTGCCATCCTTGGCTTGTCTCCTTTCAGGGGTGATCCGTCACCCTCTTGACACCCTGACTTGGGTCCTGAGCTCCCTAGAAGAGTGGGTGCCCGTGGCCTGCTGGTCGGCCACATCCAGCCTGACCCTGGCATCCCCCCCGGCCTCAGTGCACCACACTCTTATGCTCCCCTTTCCCTTGATTGGAACGTCAGTCACGGCCCTGCCAACCTGCCTCTCAGATGCCCTCACCTGTGTTGCTGCCTCCTGCCCAGGATGCCTTGGGATCTGTAGCAAGGACGGACTTATGTACCAATGAGTCAGGACAGACTGTCTAAAACTCACTGTGGGTTTATCCAGTTGAAACATGTGGCTTTTAGAATGGAACGGGCCCTTTGAGAACTAACAGGACTTCCAGGGGCCAGCTGCTCCATTTGTCAAACCATCCAGCCCTGAGCAATGGGACAGGAGGGGATGGCTGGTGTTGGAGTGCAGGGTCTCGCCCAGGATGAGGCATCGTCTGCAGAGATGACCTGGGCTTGGGGACCCGGCAGTGGAAGGGCTAGGGCAACCCCCCTGCTGTGTGTTCTTCCCGGGCTGCACTGGGGCGCTTGACTGGCCCAGAGAGCTGCCAGTCACTCGGCACTGCGTCTGGGAGCAGCTCAGCACGGGGCCACATCTCTGCTTGCGTGGGAATTGCGTCTGTCTTACGGTTGATGGTTCTGTTGATGACTTGTCATTGCTTTTCAGGTTCTAGCAGGCTTAAGAGCCGTCACCCACATTTCTCCCGAGGACCTGAGCTTTGCCGAGTCCAGGCGGGATGCCTTGAAGGCGATTGCTAGGTGAGTCCCACTGGTTTTCCTCCCAAAAGCCAGCAGCTGCACACTGAGGGATGTTCATGGTCGGTTTGTGTTGGAAGCCCAGTCTCAGATGATGAATTTACTTAGATGCAAACGCTATCAGTTTTTGTTTCCTAGTTTCTTCTCTTTTCAGAGGATTGTCAACATTTCCGGTTCATTAAGTTTTATTTGTTGTAATTATAATGAATATTAAACCTGTAGTGCGATGACATCTTTACTTTAGGAGCACTCAAGGATTGGGGAATGAGCGTCAGCTCCATGGGCCACTCTCGAGGGAGGGGGAGTGACCCCGTCAGCACGTGCAGGGTGATCTCTGAGACTTGTCGCAAATGCACACGTCGGGACACCCTCTCCTTCCCTCCCCACAAGCACGTCAGAGGACGAGCCTGTGCAAGTACCTCCTCTGCTGTGTTATCTCCATCTGCCAGGATGGGAGGGTAGGGGACCAGCCACAAATGGTCTCCCTGCGCACCTTTTAAACTGTAGACAGTAGAAAATGTGATCTTGGAGAAGCGCGTCATTCAGCATTATGTCAGCGCAGAAGGAGCTGTGGAATTCTGAACCACCTCTGAGGTTATTGTTCAGTTCCGAGCGTCCTGTCAGGAAAAGCACATCTGGCCGTCATGATGTGAAATACGGGAAAGATTGGATAGGATTCACAGACATTAGCTATATTTCACACACGTTTAATTTTAGGATCTGCCAGACTGTCGGTGTGAAAGCAGAAGGGAGCCCGGATGAAGTTGTGTGTAGGGAGAACATTTCCCAGATTTACTGCACGCTGCTGGACTGCCTGAGCGACTACACCACTGACAGCCGTGGGGACGTGGGGGCGTGGTAAGGCGTGTTCTTTAGTCCCACAGCCCCTCTCCCTCTGTGTCTCAGCGAGTGTCACGCAGGTTAGAGCTGGGGCATTTCCTGCCACTGCCCATGGCCCACGTCCAGTGTTGCTTCTACCTGGGCAGTCTCCCACTCGCTGTCCTGCTGCCGCCATCCAGCCTGGGCCGTCGTTCTCAGGACAGCAGAGCCTCTGGCTGCCCGGCCTCTGCTCAGTCTCTCGTGTGTGTTTCTGCTCTTTACTGAGAAAACAGTCACTTCATGAAATACGAACATGGTGCTGACTCCCTCGTCTAAGCCCCAGTTTTGTTTTTTTGTTATACATGTATATATATATATATATATATTTTTTTTTTTTTCAGGAAGAGTGGCCTTTTTTTTTTTTCAGGAAGAGTGGCCCTGTGCTAACATCTGTTGCCAATCTTCATCTTTTACCTTTCTTTCTCTCCAAAGCCCCAGTGCACAGTTGTGTGTCATAGTTGTAGAGTTGTAGCTCTTCTATGTGGGGTGCCTCCTCAGCATGGCTTGATGAGCAGTATGTAGGTCTGCGCCCAGGATCCGACCCAGCGAACCCCAGGCAGCCGAAGCAGAACGTGCCAACTTAACCACTAGGCCACCAGGCCAGCCCCGAAGCCCCAGTTTTGACTTAATGAAGTTCATGTAAACCAAGCCCCAGCTGGCTGTCCAGAGTGGGAGGGGTCCCAAACCGTTCTGGAGAAGGGCAGAGATGGGCCCTGGGGATCGTGCTGTGGCTGATTTTCCAGGGCCTCAGCTGCATCAGTCCCACCTGATGGAAACCAGACCTCAAGGGTCTGGGAGAAGCCCTCCGGTTGTGATCTACCTGGGGAAGATCTAAATAGCCAACCCTCTGCTGAGCTGAGTGAGGCTGCTGACTCCAGCTGTGCTCATGGCCGGAGGCCGGCTTGTGTTCATTCTTTACTCTCATATGGGCAGTTGTCTTCTTTCCAAGATTTCATAATACTTTTCTGTTTACTGTAAATAAGAGACCAAGTGGCCGTTGTTGTGGATGAGTGTTCTCGTTCGTGTTCTCTCTCAGGGTCTCTGTGGATGGGTCGTCAGAGGACGCCTTACTGTGGGAAGAGCACAGAAAAAGGTGTGACTCACATAGAGTAGAAGTAGTTCATTTTTTTATTTGGAGGATGGAGAAAGAAGTTAAGCTTTATGTTAAAACTTAAAAGAAAAAAGAAATGAATGGATATGTTGTCTCATATTTGGCCCCTATTTCTCTAGATATTTTCTTGCCTCTTATCTCACTCTGATATCCTGTCACCTGGTAAGACCTCTTCATGATGTCCCACAAATCCTGAAGCCCTATTCATTTTTTCAAAGTTTTTCTCTCTTCAGTTGTGTGAATTCTATTAATTTATGTTCAGCTTCATTGGCTCTTTCCTTTATTTAATCTCCACAATGCTATTAAGTTCCTCTGATAAAACTCTAATTTCGTGTTGTATTTTTGTTAGTAAAATCTCCCGCTGGGTCTGTGTCTGCTGCACATCCTGCCTTTTCACCGTCAGGAGTGTCCCCTGCCCTGCCGGCTACTCGCCTTCCTCCACTCGTCCCGATGGTATTTGGGGGACCGCGCATGTGTCTGCAGGGACTCGGGCAGGGTTCACTGGGGTCTCGTCAGAACCCCGTGGTCCTCGTCCCAGGCATGGGGGGCTCTCGAGGGGCGCCACACGGCTCTCCAGTCCCATGTCCTCAGAGAGGCCATCCTGAGCTCAGTTGCTGGCTCTCCGGGTGCAGCTGCAGTGCAGCCACGTGACCCCTTTGCTGCCCTGTCTCTGTGGGGCAGCACCTCTTGGGGGCTGTGTTGCTGACAGCGGTCTGACCCAGCAAGGGCTCGCTCATCTGCCCTGGAGAGTGGGCTGCTCTTCCTGGTTCTTTGTGTGGCGAGTGGTTTTGGAGCAGGTCCTGGATACAGGGAGGGTTTTGTTGTGGAGATTCTGGCCTGTGTCATTTTTCCGGAAGCTGCTGGCGGCTTTCAGCAGGCAGCAGACCTGCTCTGAACACAGAGCCACCATCTCTGCCTCGCCTGATGTGGGTGGCCGCTCACGTTCTGTCCAGTCGGCCGTGTCCTGATGGAGATGTGGGGAGTGCTCCCACGTGGACGTGGGGTCCCCTTCTGGGGCGCGCCCCTTTAGGGGACCCCCTTTGCTCTCGGTGTCTCTGGTTGTCCCAGACTCTGCCTCACAGTTCAAGCCAGGACAGTGGGTTTTCACTGGTGTTTCTGCATTGCTGTGGCTGCCCTAGAGCAGAGGAAAAATGAAACAGAGGGGAAGCCCCCTGGCCATCACCTCCAGCTCCACCGTCAACCCAGGGGCTCAGGCTGTGCTGTGGCTGTGGTGTCGGAGGGGCTCCTCCTGCCCTCCATGGATTCAGAGTGAGTCTGGGTCCTGCAGTGCTGGGGCCTCTCAGAGGCTCCAGTCACCTGTGGAGAGTCTCCATCTTTTTCACTTGTTTCCCTCCTCCTCTACTGTTCTTCAGCGTGTTCCTCGGGGTTGCTGTCAAGACTGCACATTCGCTCCAACGTCGTGTCGTCTTGGGTCTGTCTGTGTCATCTGCTCTCTCTGTTTTAGCACTTGGTCTTTTTTTCTTTTCTTTTCTTTTTTTTTTTTAACATTCCTTGTAATTTTTTTGTGTGTGTGAGGAAGATCGGCCCTGAGCTAACATCTGCCAATCCTCCTCTTTTTGCTGAGGAAGACTGGCCCTGGGCTAACATCCATGCCCACCTTCCTCTACTTTATATGGGATGCCGCCACAGCACGGCCCGACAAGCGGTTTGTCGGTGCGCACCCGGGATCCGAACCGGTGAACCCGGGCCGCCGCAGCAGAGTGCGCGCACCCAACTGCTTGTGCCACTGGGCTGGTAATTTTTTACTAAATCCAGAAATGGTGAGTTCATATCGTGGAGTCTGTGGGTTGTGGGAGTGGGATTTCCTCGCAGCAACATCAAGCCCATGTTGTGTGGGCAGTCACCTCATGCCCCCCTGGGCTGGAGTCCCGCTCACTCCTGTCCACACCCTGGGCTGCTGTGCCCACGGCCTGAGGAGGGGCCTCCTGGGCTTGGACCCCAGACTCTTTCTTCTGCACCTGTGTCCTCCCAGCTCACCCTGTGCTTGCCCATCAGGAGCTGGCGAGGGCCCCTCCTCTGTGTCCCGCTCCCCAGCCTTCCCCGTGAGAGCTGGGCTTCCGCGGGAGCACTCTGTCGTCCCACCTTCCATGCCCTGCCTGCTCCCTGGCCCCTCCCCACGGTCGTGGGTGTCGTGTTCTGAGCTGCGGCTGGTTGGTGGCCCAGCCTGGCGCCTGAGCTTGATCAGCTCCCGTCAGCCTGTGTCCAAGCAGCCCCACCCCTGCACGCGGCTTCTCCCACCGGGCCTCCCAGGGCCCGGGTCTCTGTCCGAGCCCAGCCTCTCATCCAAGCAGCGCAGGCTGTCTCTCTGGTGCACGGCCTTCACTCGTTGGCAGGAATGTTGGTGTCCGGGCCTATGGGACCTGCTGGCCCTGGTGACACGGGGCAGTGTCTGTGGTTCCCGTTGTCCGGCTGTGTCCTGCCCAGGCCGGGTGCACTTGTCCCAGGTTTACAGTGCTGCTGTCCCTGTGGAGTTGGGCCCGGAACAGTGTGGGCTCAGGTTTTCTAATTGTATCAGCGTTGTTTCCTTGAACATGAGCTGACGTGGAGCAAGTGTGTTCAGAGTGGGGAGATGTCCTGACCTGGCGGGATGCAGGCAGCAGCAAACGAGAGCTGCTCTACCAACGGGATCCAGCGAGAAACGTGTAGAGTGGGTGTATTTGCATTTAAAGGTTCATGAGAAAATCAGTGGTGTTTCCGCGTGTGCCCTTGAGGCAGAGTATGCTGGGACCTGGCATCTCTCCGCAGGTGTCACACGCGTCTTTGTTGTACGTAACCACTTGAGAAAACGCTCCCTGAGGAAAGGCTGCCAGATGCCTGAATTGTTGCTTAGACGTTTCCCACTGAAGTGTGATTTTCACAATCTCCAAGATCTGAGTGTGGCTGATGGGCCACGTGCGCCTGGGGTGGGAGGCCGGCTCCTCATCGCCCCTCATCCCCCGCAGGGTCCGTGAGGCCGCCATGACCAGTCTGATGGACCTGACGCTGCTGCTGGGGAGGGACCAGCCGGAGATGCTCGAGGCCCGTGTGTGAGTGTGACCTCCCCGCGTGGGAGACTCTGCCCTGGCCCTCCCTTCCTCCTGACGCCACAGCCTGCAGCTCCTGACCAGGCCTCCCGCCCCAAGTGGCGCCTCCCTGGGGCTCAGGCCTATTGGAGGACAGCCAGCCTGGGGTGAGGCCAGGCCAGGGGCTGCTGCTTGGCCTAGGGCTCCTGCGCCTGAGCACCTGCTCCCACGGGGGACTGGCCATCCCCACCCAGTGGTTCCTTGGACCAGGGCTGCCTCGGGCACCACGCTTGCCTAGGGTCCTGCCCTCTGCTGCCGATGTCACTGAGGCCTTTGTGGAGACAGTCTCCTGTCCTTAGCCCATCCCCCCCAGCCCCCTCTTCCTCCTCTTCTTATCCCCATCCTTCTCTACCTCCCCAGCCCCTGAGGTCCCATCACCACCCGCTGCCCACCCCAGAGCCATGTCTGTCCTTACTGCTTCCACCCGAGACCTTGGGTGTCATATCAGCTGGGGAGTGGGGTCCTGACCTGCAGCCCTGGTGGCTGCTGTGCTGAGCCGATGGCCTGCACTCTTGGTTTGCAGCTGTGAGCGGGTCATGTGCTGCGTGGCCCAGCAGGCGAGTGAGAAGATCGACCGGGTCCGTGCGCATGCTGCCCATGTGTTCATGGCGCTGCTACACTCTGATGGCCCTCCCATCCCGCACCTGCCCCACCGAGGAGACCTGCAGGAGCTCTTTCCCAGGTTTGGAGCCCTGTGTGTCCCCGGGTCTCAGGGGTGGGGGCCATGGCCCTTCCAGCTTGCCTGTTCGCTCTCTTGCAGGTCCGACGTGGCCTCTGTGAACTGGAACGCGCCATCCCAGGCCTTCCCTCGCATCACCCGTCTCCTGGGGCTGCCCGCCTATCGCTACCACGTGCTGCTGGGGCTGGCTGTGTCCGTGGGCGGCTTGACGGAGTCCACGGTGAGGAAGCAGCTGGCCTGGCCTCTTCTTGAGGAGAGCAGTTCTGTGTGGGCGTCTGCTGGGAGCTGGGGCAGCGTGGGAAGTTCCATGGCATGGCGGTGTCTGGTGTTCTCCAGGTGGGAGCTGGGGCAGCGTGGGAAGTTCCATGGCATGGCGGTGTCTGGTGTTCTCCAGGTGGGAGCTGGGGCAGCGTGGGAAGTTCCATGGCATGGCGGTGTCTGGTGTTCTCCGGGTGGGAGCTAGGGGTGTGGGAAGTGCGTGCTGGGGGTCTGCTGTCTCCTTCCTTCTGCTGGTTCTGTCTCGGGAATGTTTGCTTTGGAGTCGAGGGGGTCAAGGGTCCAGCTCCTTCCCCTGGCTTTGCCCTCCCAGGCAGGGTCCCTGAGGTGTTTCCTCTGATGAGAGAGGACTGACGTCTTCAGTGGGAAACTGAGTAGTGGGACTTTCCATTAGGAAGATCTGACACGCACAGAAGTACGAAGATGTTACAATGAACTTCTGTTTCCCAGCACCGTTGTGGTGTCAGCGGTCTCAGCGTCGGCTGTCTTGTCCCCTCTTCTGCCACACGCAACTCGTACAGTCCGTGTGTCACCATCACATTTGGAGTCGGTCCGCCAGCCGCTGCTTTGACTCTCTTTCAGGGGTTCTTTTTGGATAAGTTTTTGTTTGCAGCTTGTGTTTCCTTACTCTGTCCTCACCTCTCTGCTGGCTTGGCGTGCCACGTTCCCTCACACACTGTAAATCGGACCGTTGAAAAGTTGTCGTGTGCACCATCATGGGGGTGCATCTGCTTCTTCTCAGCCCCACTCACTGGCAGACGTTCCTGTTGGAGAACATTCCTGCTGGGGGGCTGGCCCTTCCCTGGTTTCCATGGAGATGGCATATGTTTAAATTTCCTGCACTTTCCCTTCAAGCCCCTCAGGGTGAATGCCTCTAGTTTTCACTGATGGGTCCTTGTTCTCGGGAGATGATTTGTGGGGGCAGAATTCTCGTCTGAGGCTCCCCCCGCTGCTCCAGTCCCTTGTCGCTGCTGCGAGTGGCTGCTATGCCTCACTGCTCCTGTTCTCCTTCCCTTTGGCTATTCTCAGGGTTGTCTCTGCTCTTATGTCCTGCAGTCTTGCTCCAGTAGGTCAGCACGTTCCTGTTGGGGTTCGTCGTTTTCATCACTTTTGGAGGATCCATGACCCTCCTCCTCCTGTGCTCCATGTTTCCTCCACGTGTCTTCTGTGCTCTCGTGTCTCCCTTCACATCCGGTCCGCTCTGTTCTTGAGACTTCTCTTCCAGTCACTACAAGTTTCTGCAGCTTTGTGTAATCTGGTTTTGAGTTTTTGGTTTCAGTAATTTTATTTTTTATTACCAAACATTTATTTTGTCCTGAATCTTTTTCTCGTGCTTTTTCATTGTAGGCTCATCTTTGTAATTACATTTTTGTTTTAAAGATTAATAGATGCATTCTCCTGTGTTCTGTGTCTTGTATCACAGTGTCTGATCTGCACCTGCATCCTCACTTCTGCTAACCGTTTGCAGTGACTCGCTGTCTCAGGTGTTTGCCTGGGTGATGGTGTTGGTATTAACCTGGGGGAAGCTGCCTCCACACAGTTTGCTGTCGCTCCTGCCAGAAGCTGTGCTCAGCCCCCAGACACTGGGCAGGCTGTGGGCTTGGTCAGAGCTGGAGTCTTGGATGCCCCTTCTCTTTCTTGCCAGCTTGAAGCTGCTGGTGTCCAGCTTCAGGGACACCCTGGATCCCTGCTGCTCCCTGCTTTTGGCTGCCTCCGTGTCTGTGTCCGTGTCCGTGTGGGTCTCTCTGTGTGGGGTCTGCGAAGCCTCCAGTCTGCCCAGGCCCAGCTCCCGTGACGGTTCCTCTGCTTGTTTGTGTGGTGCCTGTGGGGGGGACTGAGCCCAGCAGCGCCTCAGGGATCTGCAGCTGAGTTTGGAACAGGAAGGTCTCAGAGCATCTGGTTGCTCTCAATGCCAGGCTCTGGTGACCTCTTCCCACGGACAGTCTCCTCCACGGTTGGCTCAGGGGTCATTCTGGCAAGTTGAGCGACAGCATGTGAGAGCTTGGGTTGTGTCGCTGCCTCCAGAGAAGCGTGTCCGTTTCAGGGGTTTGCACTGTGGCTCTGTGCTCGTGCCCCGTCTGGCCGGGCGATGGCAGGATCCTCACGCTGTTGCTCCATCCTCTCAGCTAGTAGCAGACCTTTGAGTCTGTTACTGCGGCCAAGCCCAGGGCAGGCGCGAGGGGAGCGGGGTCTTGTCGCCGTTACAAGAAGCGTCTCCGTCCTGCAGGTCCGGTGCTCGACGCAGAGTCTCTTTGAATACATGAAGGGAATTCAGGACGACCCGCAGGCCCTGGAGGGCTTTGGCGGGACCCTTCTGCAAGTCTTTGAGGACAACCTGCTGAACGACAGGTAAGCGGTGGTGCTCTTCATGATGGTTTCTCAGACCCCCAGGGTCTCGTTTGTTCTCACCAGGATTTTAAGGGACAGGTGGGGGAGGCACAGGTGAGGAACATGGACATGGCCAGGTGAGGGTGTGCCCAAGCACATGGGTCTCGGGCTGGCCCATCACCCCCTGGGCCCTCCTAGCCTGCTCTTTGGGCTGGTGGAATTAGGGTTTTTGTACATCAGAAGTGAAGGTGATGGGCTGTGAGCCCGGAGGGAAGTGCGGCCCTTGCCTGTGTGCTCCCCGAGGTGGACCCTGGTCCACACATGCTGACATGACCACGACCACTGAGCAGGGGCGTTAGTAGTGTGCCAGGGTGGGAACATCATGGTGAGAAACGAGACCTGGGTTCTGAACATTTTTGCGCCAGTGTTTTGGTAACTGCTTTTCCATGAAAGTAGGGTGTAGACTGCACAGGCCCTGACCTCAGAATCAGGGATGTTTCCCACAGCCCCCAGAGGGGTTGTTCCTGGACTCAGTTCTTGGTTGTCCCGGGGCAGCCAGGCCCCTTGCAGTGGCATGGCCGAGGGTCCCCTCACGCAGGCCCTTGGCAGCCGTCCTGGCCATGGGAAGCAGAGAGGCAGCTCTCAATAAATAGGAGCTCCTTCCGTGGAGGAGTGACGGCAGTGAGATGCACGTGACCTGTGCAGTTTGATAGATTTTGACTCATGTCAACACCCGTGAACCATCACCACAGTCAAGGCCCCGAACACATCCATCACCCCAAATGTTCCCTCCGGCCCCTCCCAAGCCCCCCACTCCTCACGGATCCCCAGCCCCAAGGCAGCTGCTGGTTTGCGTACTGTCACTATAACTTAGGTGGCACTTTCTAGAATTTTATTTAAATGGAATCATGCCGTGAGTACCCTTTGTGTATCTGGCTCCTTGGGTCCAGCATACTTAGAGTCACCTTTTAATGCTGAGTTGTGTTCTGTTGCATGGTTACTGCACATTTTGTTTGTAGGCTGAGTTGTGTTCTGTTGCGTGGTTACTGCACACTTGTTCATAGGCTGAGTTGTGTTCTCTTGTGTGGTTACTGCACTCTTTGCTCATCTCTTGGTGGCATCTGGGCTGTCTGCAGTGTGAGGCAGTCACAGATGAGCTGTGGTGAGCATCCATGTGCAAGTCGGTGTGGACACATCTTTCCTTTCCCCTTGGCGGATCCTGAGGAGTGGACTGGCTGGTCATATGGTAGGTGAATATTTAACCTTTTGAAAAACCGCCCAGCCGTCTTCCATGGTGGTTGTACCATTTTACCTTCCTGCTCATAGGGTCTCAGAGAACCAGGGCCACGTCCTCACAGGCTGATGTGGTCCGTCTTTAATCTTAGTTGTTTTGCGGGCGTGGGCTCATTTCTCTCCCCACTGAGGATGGGGAGCATCTTCTTGGGGCTCGTGGGCCATCTGGAGAGCCCCCCTGGTGAGGTGTCTGTCCAGGTCTTCTGCCTATTTGTTAACTGGGGGTGGCTTTTTCCTCACTGCTGAGTTGTGAGGTTTTCTAACATGTACTGGACAAATCCTTTGTCAGCCATGTGATTTGCAAATATTTTCTTAGTCTGTGGCTTCTCTTTCATCTTTTCACAGAGCAAATGTGATGAACTCCAGTTTATCTGCTTGTTCATTTATGGATTGTGCTTTTTGTGTCATATCTAAGTAATCTTTGCCTAACTCAAGGTCACAAAGATTTTCTCTTGTTTTCTTCTAGAAGTTTTATAGTTTTAGGTTTTATATTAAACCTAAGGTCCATTTTGGGTTAGTTTCTAACCAATCCACTAGTTTGGGTTAGTATGTGATGCAAGGAATGGATCCATGTCCGTTTGTGGTTCTGTGTGTGGACATCCAGACCCTTTGTGGTTCTGCGTGTGGACGTCCAGACCCTTTGTGGTTCTGCGTGTGGACGTCCAGACCGTTTGTGGTTCTGCGTGTGGATGTCCAGCGCCGTTTGTGGTTCTGCGTGTGGACATCCAGCGCCGTTTGTGGTTCTGCGTGTGGACGTCCAGACCGTTTGTGGTTCTGCCTGTGGATGTCCAGTTGCTCTATTCAGGCTCTTTTCTGGGCTCTTTTCTGTTTTTTGATCTACGTTCTGGACCACCCTGCTCTGACCACTGGAACTCCACTGTGGCTTTGACCTCAGGTGGTGGTAGCCCTCCTGCTCTGTTCTTTCTCCCATAGTTGTTTGGGCTTTTTTTGATCCTCTGCATTTCCACTTAAATTTAGAATCAGCTTGTCGTTTCTACAGAACGTCCTGCCGGACTTTCACTGGGATTGTACAGCCTCGGGACAGTGGACATTGACTGCCACTTCCCCTCAGAGCCCTTGCCTCTCCACTTGCCCAGCCCTCCCTCCGTCTCCTGTTTGGCCCCTGGTCTCTCACGGCTCCTCTTCTTCCCTCAGGGTCTCTGTGCCGCTGCTGAAGACACTGGACCAGATGCTGGCCAATGGGTGCTTCGACATCTTCACCACGGAGGAGAAGTAAGAGTTTATTTTTTTCCCTTTCAGTGCTGCTTTACTGGTTAAGCCTTGTAGCTCACCTGTTAAAGGAAAAGTGATCAGATCCAGAGATGAGAATCTAGGAGATAATTTTCCAATGGGTTCAGGGTCAGTTTTTATACACACTGGAAATGCTGTCAGGAAGCATTGGCTGCCCCACGAGAGGCTGGGCTGGGTGGGTGCGGGCTCCTGTTGTGGCACCTGCCTGCCATCCAGGTGGGAAATGGGCCTGAGCAGGTGAGGTGTCCCACCTGCCAGGGCCCCAGTGGTCAGGGCAGTTGTGGACGGTGGACTAGATGGTGGATGGGGATGGGGGATTGCAGAGGGCCTGTGACTGTTGCAGTGATGGATCGGGCACTTTTGTGAGAGGAGGACTTGGGAGCCCACTAAGGACAGAGTGGGACACAGTGGGGCCGTGGCGAGGCTGGCTGGATGTGGGTGTGGGGAGTGGGTCAAAAGGCTGCTTCCCATGTCCGCTGTGTTCGGGGTTTCTTGGCTGCCCGAGCACAGGGACACGTTGCTGCCCGCGTCAGCCTCCTTGTCCGTGAGCGCCCACGTCCCAGGTCTCAGCGGCTGGTTTATCTCGTCAGGGCCACGTTTTCTTGTTTCTTGTGTGCCGATGATTTCTGTTGGACCTCACTGTCCCCCGTGGGTGGGCTTGAGCTTCCCTGTGGGCACGTTTCAGTGATTTGAAAACAGTTTTTAAACTGTATCAGGTGGGCCAGAGTGGCATTTTTCTTGTGTTAATTTTCTCCCACTACTAAGGTCTCTGCTGGCTGGGGCTAGATTTCCGAGCTTTCCACTCGGCTGGTGTAACAGTCACTGTGTGTGCTAAGCAGGGGTCTTCCTGTCATCTTCCTGGGTGGTTCTGTTCCCAGCCTGGGGCAGTGTCCTTGTGCTCATGCGCTGACCAGGGCTCAGGTGAATCCTTGGGGCCCTGGGAAGCCCCCGCCCCTCTGGTGTTGTGCCCTGCAGACGGAGCGAACTGCAGACTCAGGCGCCCAGGTCCCCTCGCGCCCCCTGCGCGGGCAGGAAGCCAGGCAGTTGCAGGCTCACCTCACTTGCCTCCCCTGCCTCAGTGGTTGCTGTCCTTGGCCATTTGCTGTGTTGTGAGTTTGTTTGGTTTTTAGTTGGTTCAGGTGGGGCGTGAACCTAGTCCCTGTTACTCCATCTTTGCTGAGACTCCCCAATGCTTTTTTTTTTTCGGTGAGGAGGATTGGCCCTGAGCTAACATCTGTGCCCATGTTCCTCTACTTTGTTTGTGGGACGCCGCCACAGCATGGCTTGATGAGTGTTGCGTTGGTTCATGCCCAGATTTGAACTTGCAAACCCCAGGCCAGCAGAGCGGAACATGAGAACTTAACCACTATGCCACTGGGCCAGCCCCCCCTCCAATACTTTTTTAACCTGATAACATCAAAGCATTTCTTCTCTTAAGTTGCTGATGGTGCATCACACTGACTTTCTCATACCTAATGTCAGAGCAGCATTTGTGGGCTATGGCCACCTGGCTGTGGGACCCTTTAGTGCATAACTTGGCTTGCTAAACATTCTGTTTAAGATCTTAACATGTTTTTGTGCTTTGAAAATTTTAAAATAAGATGGTGGGAGAAAGTATCTCCTGCTATGAATATAGCTCTCTTTATTTCTCTGTAGTTTTGTCAGTGTTTGCGTTATGTATTTTCAGGTTTTACATCTTGGCGCACACAGACTCAGGGTGAATCTTGTCGGTAAAGGGCCTTCATTCCTGGTGGGACTCTGTGCCTCGCACACCCGGTCTGTCGCGTATTCATTTGTGCGGCTGCACCAGCTGCTTCTGACTTCTCTCCTTTCCTGTTCTCCGCGTTCCCTCTGCACGTGTCTGTGTCTGGGCATCTCCTGTGAGCAGTCAGTAGATCTGTGCACACTGGCTGAAGCCTATCTTTTCACGGGACCGTTCATCATGTCCCACGTGACCACTGGGTCTATGTCCGCGTGCGTGGGCTCTCCCGGCCCTGCCGGCCCCTCTCCCATTCCTCCTCCTCCATTCTGTCCGTTAACGGGGTCATTTCCATCTCCTTCACGTGCTTGACTGGGACTTTGTCCTCTTTTCTGCTCCCCACCAGGTCACCTCCTCGGAGTTCATTTTCAGCATTTTGTCCTCTTCCTGGACAACACCAAGAGTGTTAGGACGCGTCCTGTGTACTTCCCTGTGGTGGCAGGACATCATTGTCAAGTATTCTATTACATTTATGTTTTCACTTATTGCTGTTTTGTGCAGTTAGTGTTTGTTTTAAGTTAAACACATTTTTACTACTTTCTTTTCCCTCATTACCTCCTGCGTCTTGTCCCCCACCTCATCTGGGATCATATTCTTTTCTGCCTAAAGAACATCCTTTAGAATTTCCTCCAGTGAGGTCTGCTGGTGGCAGTGCTTTCTGATTTTATTTTCAGAGGCTACAGAATTCTAGGCAGCTGTTTTATTTCGGGACTTGAAGAATATCTTTCCACTTCCTTCTGACTTGTCTCCTTGCTTTGAGAAGTCCCCTGTGAGTCTGGGGTCTGACTGCACCCCACGGGAGTTGTCTGGGTTTGCCTGCCTCCTCCTAAGGTTTTCCTGTAGTTGTCACTCAAATCTGTCAATTCTCTCCCTATATATATCTGACCAGGAATTTGTTGAACTTGAATCTGTGGCTTCGTTTGTTTTCATTTGTTCTAGAAAATTCTTACCATCATTATCTCTTCAGCTTAGACCGTTCCACTTTGCCCTCCCAGTTCTAGGACTTGCAATGCAAACCACCACAGCCCCTCCCCACTCCGTCCTCAACCCTCCACACCTCCCACACTTTCTCCTCTCTCTCTCTCCCCCATCTGCTGATTCTTTCTTAAGACATTTCTGATCCACTGCCCATTTATTTGTGCAGTTCTTACTTCTGGGTTTTGGGTTTTTTCAGATGTTGTCCCACTTTCTTCCTTCCAGTCCCTCTGACCTTCCTTCTGCCCTCCTGGACGCAGTTCTGCCGTTGTCCTGTGTGTTCTGGTCTGCAGTACTCATGTGGAATTTCTGGAGTTGCGACAGCATGTGGTGTGTGTGTTCTCATTTGTCTGGATGCTGCATTTGTAAGTCATCTGTAAAAGCAGGTGAGGGTCTTTTCCAGGCACTGAGGGGCGGTGGCAATCTTGAACCTCCCTGACCCACGTTCGCCCCGTGGGGGTCTCTGGACTGTCCAGGTGGCCGCAGCCCATGAGAGGCTGGTGCACGCCTCATCCCCTCTCTCCCTGGGGGCAGCCTTCCAGGTTTGTTGGGTCCACACCTTGATCAGGACCAAGCTTTGGGTCTTGTCACTGCTGGAGGCTGAAAACAGCACTGCTCAGCTTCCTCTGGAGAGTCGTGTGGTCTCCCGGTTCTGAGGAGCCCCGAGTGCCAGCTCCTCTCTCAGAGCTGAGGTAGGCAGAGAGCAGTCTCGGGGTCCAGGGAAGGCAGCGCCGTCACTCTGGGGAGATGGTGGCAGAGGAGAGTGGCCGGCCCTAGATGCGTGTTGATGCAGACCAGCAGGTCTACTGGCAGATCAGACGTGGTGTGAGGGGCTGAGGCAGCCGAGGATGACTGCAGCTTCTTGGACTAGCAGGTGGAGGGTGGAGGTGCTCCTCGAGACAGGAAGACTGGATGGAACAGGTGTGGACCAGAGACGTCTGGAAGTCCAGCTGGAAGACTGTCCTAGCCCGGTCAGGCTGCTACAGCAAAACACCACAGACTGGGTGGCTTGAGCGACAGAGATCAATCCCTCACAGTCCTGAGGCTGGAAGTCCAGCATCAGGTGCTGGCCGATTTGGTTCCTAGTGTGCAGGTGGCCGCCTTCTCGCCGCATCCTCACATGGCAGAGAGAGCATCTCTGTGTCTCTCTTATGAGGGCACTAATGCCATCATGGGGTTCCACAGGACCTAATCGCCTCCCCAGGCCCCACCTCCTAATGCCTTCACATCAGGGGTCATGGCTTCAACATGAATTTTGGGGGACACAAACATTCAGTCCATAGCAGAAATGTTTGGTTTGAGATGCTTATTAGAGCTTGTCCAGAGGAGATGGACTTTCAAGGCTGGAACTCAGTGGAAAGTCCTCAGAGAATGGATGTTATGTGAACTCATGAGGTCATCAAGGGAGTGGGTATAGACAGGTGACCAGGGGAGGGGTGTAGATCGAGAAGGGCCCTGATGGAAACTGGGGTGCCCTACTGTTAGGAGGATGGTGAGCAGAGGAGACAGCAAAGCCACTAGGAAGCAGGCAGAGTTGGAAGAGCTCGGCACTGCCACAGCAGGGCTGTCGATGGTGTGTACCGAGTCGTCACATAGGCTGAGGATAGCAGTGACCATGGCCCTCAGTGACACAATGGTCATTTGATCCTTAACAAGCATTTCAATGAGCTGTGGGGGGAAGTTGGGTTCAGGGAGGGGTGGGGGCCAGAGAGGGACACTGACAGCTCTGAGTGACAGTGAGGACCTGGAGGGGCAGGCAGGGTTGAGAGGTTGGTGGTGCCAGTGGGTGGGGAGTGGACGGTGGTGCCAGGGGGTGGAGAGAGGCTGAGGTCCACTTTATCTAAGAGGACAGGAGAGTTTCCCTGGGACCATTTTTGCTTGGGGGAGCTACTGTCCACACCGACCTTGACATGGCGGTGGCCTAGCATGGTGGCCACTTCCTGCTCGCTGGGGGAGGTCCGTCCTGTTGCCTTCACCCAGGGGCCCAGTGAGACGAGGCTCTGCCCCCAACTATATTGTAAGGTTGCCTGGGCAGCCTCCAGCCAGCTGATGGGGAAGAAGGAGCCATAGGGTTACTTGGACCTACATGTCTCAGCCCATGTGGCACATCCAGACCTGGCGTGGGGCAAGGGGGCAGTGGATCCCTGGCTGCAGCACCGCAGAACAGGAGTGTCTCCATCTCAGTGGGACCCTCACTGGCCTTAGCTGCCCTGGCCCCACGTTTACCTCAGCTCACTGACCACTCAGCCTCTGCTGTGTCTGCACTTGCCCCCTCCGGTTGCTCCCTGATCCTCTGGGACCTGGGGGTGGGGTGTCCTCTCCCTTGATCTTGGGTCGAGCCTGCTGGGTCACAGCACATAGTGTGCAGGTGCTCCCGCTGGTGCTGGCACGAGGGTGGACCTGCTCCCGTCCTGGCCGCGCCAGAAGTCAGCCTGCCCTCCTGTCGAGGGGCCCTGAGGACGGGGAGGCACGGGGAAGGAAGGTGGTCTGAGGGGTGTCCGTTCTCCACTGCACTTGTAAAGGAACTGGCTAACGTGACCTGGCACAGCGTCCCCGAGGGATGTGGCCCTCTGGTCATCTGGTGGCAGCTGTGTGTCATGAGCTGCACTTGCTCCCTGAGAGCTCACCTCTGACGATGTGCCTTCCTTCCAGCCATCCCTTCTGTGTGAGGCTGCTTGCGCTTTGTAAGGAAGAAATCAAGAAGTCCAAAGATGTCCAGAAGCTGCGGTCCAGCATCGGGGTGTGAGTTTTGGGTTACCTGCGGAGATGGTACAGGGAGGGGCTCGGGGGAGAGAAGCGGAGTCAGAGTCACGAGGCTGCATCATGTCGTGGGGGTTGCCATCAGTTGAGAACAGTCCCAGTGACAGCCGAGGCAGCCCAGCCACGTCCCCCAGAGCAGGGAGCCCTGCCCCGACCACCCTGTGGCCTTGGTGATGACCCCGTGGACATGGGCCTGTTGGGGGAGGCTCACGACAGCCTCCTGGAAAGGGGGATGTGCATTTTGTCAGGCTGTCCTCTCATGAGGCAGGTTTTCATAGAAACAAGCCTGATTCCTGATACTGGAGATCTGGCCGTGTTGTTCCAGGTGCCTCCACTCGGCAGAGTGACAGTGGACACTGAAGCGGGGCCCCGGCCCCGACTGCACATCTGCACTGCTCTGTAGGGCCCTGAGGCTGGGTCAGCACGCAGCACCTGCAGGGCTCTGGCAGCCTCCCGTCCACTTGTGCCCGTGGGCGCCTGGTCAGGCAAGGGTCTGGGATGTCTGCTTCCCCCGCTGGGCGTCCTGGCAGCAGGCTGGTGCCACTCACCTGGCGCTCACCTGTGGTCCCTGCAGGTTCTGCGGGATGGTGCAGTTCCCGGGGGACGTGAGGAGAAAGGTCCTCCTGCAGCTGTTCCTTCTGCTCTGCCACCCATTCCCCATGGTGAGTGCCCGTGTGGTTGGCCTAACGGCCGGCTGCTGGCCAGGGTTCCAGCGGGCCCATCCTTGGACTTCCCCACGGTGACACTGTGGTCACGCATCATGACCTACTCCATGGCTCTGGTTCTGGGAAGCTGGTGCCGGGTCAGGGCCAGGTGCTCCCCGGCTGTGGGTGGGTGGCTGGCCCCGGAGTGGACGCTGGGTAGGGGCTGGGGCCCTGGTGGGGACAGGACCTGTCATGAGCGGGCGGGGTGTTCTGCCCACATGGGCGCCCTTCGAGGGGCAGTGTGACCTATCTTGGTTCACGGAAGCGGCTCCTGAGTGCGGCACAGCCTGCGTCCTCCTGGGCCGAGGTCCGCACGCACCCCTGGAGGCCCAAGTCCGTGAGCCTGGGTGCTAGGGAAGCGGAAGGACACTCAGTGAGTGCCCTGCACTGGTGGGACTGCCAACCTCTGACCCCTGATCCCCTCCCGGCTCTGCCCCTCCCCACCCTGCCCACAGTTTGTCCGCCACCACCCCTGGACCCCGGTGGGGACCCTGGCTTAGGTGATGGGGCCGCACTGGGATCCTGGGTGGGAGTCTCACACCATCGAGGTCCTGGGCCGTGGTTGGGGGCTCCTGGAAGACCCCAGGCTGAAGTGGCTCAACCCACACCTCGGAGCAAGGCCTTCACCCCAAACCCCCACTCCACCCAGGGGTCAGGTTTCCTAGGAATTCTGTTCCCCTCTGGCTGAAAGAATACTCTCCAAATAACCCACATGACATTTTCCTAAAAGGTGAGAGTAACGTTTCACTTAATACAGTGGTTCTCAAACTGGGTTCAGGGACCAGCCGCAGCACCCCCACCCTGACTATCAGAAGTGCAGGTTCTCAGGCCACCCTCACCTGCCGCCTCAGGAGCCCTGGAGTGGCCTGGGGACTGAGACCAGACACTCTGTGGATTGTTGCTGCAGGCACAACTAGAGAAGAAAGCAACTGAGGGTGCTTCTCTGATGAGGAGCAGGTTTCAGTGAGGCATTTCAAGCATGACGATATGGCCTAGCCTGTTCAAGGCTGTCCAGCTTGTTCCTAATAAGGCTGCCGCAGGGACAGCAGAGAACGAGGTGGCCCATGTGGAACGCGCCTCGTCTGGTTGTGGTTCCACGTCCAGTGTGGCCAAGGTCTCTTGAGTTAGGATCCAGGTCAGCTCCCTCCTTTGAACAATCTGCACTGGACACGTCTTTCAGGTTTTAGTTGGACTCCAGAGTCCTAGGGTACTGGGGTCCTGCCCGGCCCCGTGTCCCTGCTCCCTAGACAGAGTCCAGTTGGCTCTGCTTTGTGTGTCTCGGGCCTTCTCCTCCCATGCATGCGCTCGTCCTGTCCAGATCCGGAAGACCACGGCCAGCCAAGTGTATGAGATGGTGCTCACCTACAGCAGCGTTGTGGGCATGGACGTCCTGGACGAGGTCATGGCTGTGCTCAGCAGCACGGCCTGGTGAGTGGCAGGCCCCTTCCTATTATCCTGGGACACGCGTCAGCTATGCCATCAGTTGCAGCCTTCCATTGCGGCCTCAGCTCTGGGTCCTCCGAGGAGGCTATAGTGGTTGTAACCGAATCTCTTCTCGCCTCCCCTGTCCGTGTTTCTGTAGTACAGGCTCACTTCCTCATGCCTGGAGAGGGGCTGGGCAGGCGGGACACAGGGAGGGGAGGGGGCGCCTCCTGGGGTGTTCAGGTGGGAAAATTTTCAAAGTGAAATTATTTTTCTCCCAAATATAATTTTTTTGTAAGTGAAAGATGGGTTGTTCTTCCCACTGATTGGTGAGAGGCTAATTTGTTATTTCTTTGTGGGCTGCTTTTTCATTAACTAATAACATGGCCGGCTCTGGGTGCCCATGGGAGCTGGTGCACCGTTTCTGCTGTCATTGGGGTTGAGGTCACTCTGGGGAATGGCATCTTCTGCCCCTGAACTGTGGCGTCACAAATGCAGTGAAGTGTGCAGCGAGGGAGGCAGTTTATCCCTCGGCGGAGTGCGCCACATGTCAGCCACGGCCCCAAGGGCGCAGAAGGGCATTGAGTGGTTGCAGCAGCTGCTGCCACGCCCAGACTTGCCCCAGGGGAGGGTCCTCGGGCCTTTGCTCAGTCTTGGTGGAAGAGGCCACATGTGGACATGTTAAAAAATCAAAAAGGATGGAAGAAAACAGGAAGAACAAGTTTTCTTCTCTTCCCTATCCCCAGATGGCCAGGTCCTTCCTGGGGCAACCAGGGCCATTAGCTTCTCTTGGGTCCTTTGAGACAAAGTTGGGTCTCGAAGTTTATTTTAGGCATAATTTCCTGAAATCTCTGCTGGCTTCTTGGCTTTTGCTGGATTTGGACAGCAGGTTTGAAGGACATGTGTTGAGTGGGGGGCGGGAGGGGGCTGGTGGAGAAAGACACGTGGACGGTATCAAGAAGCACAACAGGTAGAGCCTGTCAGCGCAGGTCCCACGAGCAGCACAAAACAGTAAGTGAGATAGTGGCAGACACGTGAGGGATGCTCTTATGTTCCAGGCACTGCACACACTCACGTGCACGCACACACGCATATCCATGTGTTCTTCCAAGTGCACACACTCATGTGCATGCACTCACACACACGCCTCTATGCCTACAAGGTGACCACTCTCCTCATCCCCCGTTTTGGAGACAGGTTGGAAGCTCAGAGAGGTCAGGCAGTGGCCCATTCAGACACCAATGGTAAGAGGCCTTCGTGCTGATCCCAGACTGATAGTACCCAGTTGTGTTAGGGTCAGTGCACTCTGCTTAAGCAGGGAGGGCATGCATGATACAGTCATCCTTTCCCTCAAAATAGCCATGTTCCTAAAAGGGCTGAGCTTTCCATAAAGCTCATGCACAGCTGCAGCTCCTGGCCCTGGCCCGATGGCCTGGCTCCCCTGCTCAGATGTGAGAGACTGTGGCCTCGAAGGACAGAAGAGGGCTTTCTGGTTTCAGGGCTTTGTCAAGCTTTTCTAGGGATACGTTTAATCTCGAGGAGGAGTGAGTCCTGGTGAACATCTTTGTGGGGCCCACGATGAAAGCTCCAGATCAGGAAATGTGGTCTCAGAAGACGTGGATGTCTCCACTCGCTGTGAACAGCTGGAACACTGACCTGACCCCATGCATCCTCAGGGCTGAGGGTCCAGCTGACCTGACCTGACCCCATGCATCCTCAGGGCTGAGGGTCCAGCTGACCTGACCCATCCATCCTTGGGGCCTGTCCTCTACGTCTGTCGAGAGAGTGGCAGTTTAAAGTGCTGTACTGATGACACATTTTTCTGTTGTGTTGTCAACTCTATGAAAACATGGAGGCACATTCTGAATCAGGTTCTAAAATATTCAGCTTGAAAAAGGACAGTGAAGAGAGGCCTGAAACCATCTCCCCCAGTGGGGTCCCAGGGTCCTCCCTCTCAGTGTTGAGGTGGAGGGGGGTCTTTCCCCATAATTTAATCCCTTTGTAAATAAAATTCCAGATGACTTAAAAATTTATATGTATAATTTTTTAGTATAAAAAATGCCCAGTATTTCTCTATGGTGTTGCTAAATTTAATTTTAATTTTTTTGTGTGTGAGGAAGATCAGCCCTGAGCTAACATCTGCCAATCCTCCTCTTTTTGCTGAGGAAGACTGGTCCTGGGCTAACATCCGTGCCCATCTTCCTCCACTTTATGTGGGACGCCGCCACAGCATGGCTTGCCAAGTGGTGTGTCAGCGTGCGCCCGGGATCCGAACCGGCGAACCCTGGGCCGCCGCAGCGGAGCACGTGCACTTAACCGCTTGCACCACTGGGGTGGACTCTTTAATTTTTATTTTTAATGAAAGTAATAAATGGTTTTCAAAGTCAAACAAAACTTAAAAACAACCCATGGATTAAAATCTGTGCCCCTTCCCCCAGGCAGCCCCCTTTCCCTTCCATGGGTCCTGGCATTTCCTGTCCCCCCCCCCCCATTGGGCCCGTTTGGGGGCCATGTCTCCTTGTGGGGTACCCCTCCTTTGGGTGGGGCTCCTCCTCCTGCAGTTTCCTGAGACAGCCATCAAGGCAAAGCTTGGTGCAGAATCCACGCCTGACTGAGGGTTTGCCTAGGGGTGGAGTTCCGGGCGTGGCACTGTCATCCCTGATTTCTCCTAGTCTGAGATGCCTTGGGGTTTCTGCACACCAACAGGAATCTACTGAGAGTGTCAAGTTGGTGGCAGGTTTAGCTGTGAGCGAACTGACCCTTCTTGTGGCTGAAGCAGCCCTGCCCTCTCCTCCCCAGGGACTCGGAGCTCCCGCTTGTGCGAGGCCAGAGGAACCGCCTGTGTGACCTCCTTGGAGTGCCCAGACCACAGCTGGTCCCCAAGGTAACTGCACGCCCCCTCCAGAGTCTGGAACATCCTGGGTCCACACTGCCCGCCCACAACGGAGTCTGGAACATCCTGGGTTCACGCTGCCTGCCCCTCTCCCCGTTGGGGCCCACACAGGCTTTTGGGACCCTCAGAGATGCAGAGCAGAGGCCAGCGGGCATGTGCACCCCCCATTCCCGAGAACCAGGCCCCCAGGAGCCCCTTCCCAGTCGCTGTTCCTTCTGAAGCAAAGATAGAGAGCTGCTGATCCTCACGCGTGCCGAGCCTGCTTCTGCGTACCTGCTGCTCCAGCTTGCCCACCCGCCCCTCCGACTCCCTCTCCCACTGGCACATCTCAGGTGTGTCCTGGTGTGTGTCCATGTCCAGGACAGGCCGTCTGCTGGGTGGGTGGCCATGCAGCCTCTCTAGCCCTCAGAGGAGGTGGCATTGCCCGAGCTCTTCTCCCAGACATGGCCTCCCTCATGTTGGAAAAGGCCTTCTCGGTGCCGTAATCTGGTCCTTCTGTGTTTCCACCACTGCCACCTCCCTGGATGCTTGCCCCTTCTGGGGACTTTGTCATCCTCCAGGGTCTCCTAGGGCCTGCTGGTGTCTGCCCACTGAGGTCTCCGTTTCTAGGGCCTTGGCGTGCACATTGTAGCTGTGGTTTTGAGGTGGCTGGGCCCCAAGCTGTTCTTCTGGGTTTTCTGTAGTCAGTGGGAGATTTCAGACTATTTTGTATGCACTTGGCAGAGAATTGGACTTTCTCTTCAGTCCGTCAGCTCTGCAGGGACCGCAGTGGAGGTCACAGCAGCCTAGACTTGATTGATTGCTGGGGACTGAGTGAGCTCTCCACCTCGCCGCCCACACTCCTCCTCCTCGTCCCCCTCAGCGGTGTTCCTCTGGACTTGGGTTTGAACCCTGACTCTGGAGAGACTGTTTTTGTGCTTTTTATTGAGGAAGCCTGTCCATGTGGAAGTGAGCACTGGTCAGTGTGTCACACTTTGTAGGGGTTCCTGATTCTTGACTAGACATGCAGACTGCAGATATCATCTCCCACTTGGGGGGCTGCCTTCTCATCCTTAGATTTAATATATTTCAGCTCACCATTTCTTCCCATTTTACTTTGTCTTATGGGTCCTGTTTGAGATATGTTTGTCTACTCCAAGGTTATGGTGATAGTTTCCTGTTGTTTCCTGAAAGCTTTATCATTTCACCTTTTACATTTAAATTCACAGTCTGTCTGGCATTAGGTTTTGCATGTGGTGTGAGGGAGGTCAGCAGATATGTCTTTCCATATGCGGGTGACCCAGCTCCTTTCTGGGTACCGTGTGTCACCACTGTCACAAATCAGGGCCACACATGTGGCTCTCTTTTTGGATTCTCTGTTCTCCATGGATCTCTTTGTCCCTCTGTACGCCAGCAGCACCCTGTCTATAGACAGAGGTCTCAGTCTTAGGAGCTGCGGGAATGGATCTTGGGTCCCATAATAGGTCATGATGTTCAGTTGCTTCCGTCCTCCACCTTATTTTCTTCACAGTTGTCTCAACTCTTCTTGGCCTTTGGGTTTCCATAACACCTGTAGAATTGACGTGTCAGTTGGCACAATAAAACCTGCCAGGAGCTTGGCCGAGGTTGCTTGGAGCCTGTAGGTCAATTTGGTAAGAACTGACACCTGATGCTGAGTCTTCTAATCATGAACATGGTATACCCATCCAGCTATTCAGGAACTCCCTCAGTGTCTTCTAGTTTTTGGAGTAGAGATGTTGCATGTCTTACTGTAATTGGCCCACAGTTCTTGGATATTCTCTTCTTTTTTTCCATTCTTTTTTCTCCTTGCATTTGAATCTGGGAAGTTTCTATTCACCTATCTTCAAGTTCACTGATTCTTTCCTTGGCTGTGTCTGGTTGTATGATGAGCCCTTCAAAGGCACTCTTCATTTCTGTTACAGTGTTTTGATTTCTAGCATCTCCTTTGATTCTTTCTTAGAGTTTCCGTCGGGGCTTACATTACCTATCTGTCCTTGCACGGGGTCCACTTTTCCCGTTAGAGCCCTTGGTGTATTCATCATAGTTGTGTTGAATTCCTGGTCTGGTAGTTCCATCTGGTTCTGATGCTTGGCATTGTCTCTTTAGACTGTGCTTTTTCTTGCCTTTTGGCATATTTTGTAAGTTTTTGTTGAAAGCCAGATGTAGTGCTGGGTGATAGGAACTGAGGTGAATGGGCCTTAGTGTGAGGATTTGTGTTTATCTGGCTGGGAGCTACCCTGTTCAGTGTCTTATGCAGGTTCCAGAGCTTTGAATTCCTCCAACATCCTTGTCCCTGTGCCTTTGACTTGAGTGTCCCTCTGTCCTCCTCCTCTGAGTGTCCGTGTCTGGCAGCTCTTTTAGCTGGAACCCACGGTTATGATGCTGGAGCCTGTTGGTGAGGTGGTCGGATGGGGGAAGGGGAGCGCTTTGTAATCTTCTGATTAAACCTCAGCCTTTGTGGGTCTGGGCCTCGGTTTGTGACCTTCACCAGGGTCTCCCGTGGTGGCCTCCCTCCCTGGCTGCAGCATTTCCAGTCTGTCTCCTTGAAGCCCTGTTCCCTTGAGATTGCAGTAGGCTCTGCAGGCCCTTCCCCTGGAGAGGAGGCCTTCATGCTGGTGTCGCCTGGGGGTGACTCGTGGCGGGTGCTCTTCCCTCCCCTGCCAGAGCTGGGAGGGGGTTTTGGGTCTGGGTCTTGACCAGGCGAACTTGGTGGGTTCCTAGAGGGAAACAAGGACAGTGAGGCCCCCCGTTTCTCACCCTCATGCTAATTCACACTAGGCCTCTAGCAGTTTGTCAAAATTATCATTTAAATGCAGCCTCTGGTTTATCTTGGGCTCCGCTGGCCTGTGCTCCAGGGAAGGTGGTCATGGCTGTGATTCTCTGGATTTGTCCATCTCTCCACCTTCAGGGTGGTGACCTCAGTTCTCTGACAGGGCTGAGAAAAGGGACTGACTTTCAGGTTGTGTGGCTTCTTCCTAATGGTGCTGCGCAGGGCTCCTCAGACTTGCCTGGTGACTTTGTCTTGTTCTATAAGTTACGGAGAAAGTCGTGTTGTGGATTTCTCAATTCTTCCTTTTAGTTTTCTCAACTTTTGTGATACATTTGAAGCTATGTTGCTGGGTGCTTGTATGTTGAAGTTGGTGACATCTTCCTGGTGGACTGACTGTTACTTGGAAATACTTTTCTTTATCTGTGATAATGCTTCGTGCCTGGAGGTCCACTTGGTCTGACACTAATACAGCCACACTGGATTGTTTGGTTAGTGTTTCTGTAGTATATCTTTTTCCATCACTTAACTTTCGATTTCTGTGTTCCTACATTTAAGTGGGTCTCTTACATAAACAGTAGGTAATTAGATCTCACGATCTTGATGAATTGGCATGTTTTGTCCACTTACATTTAATGTGTGATTATAGGCTTGTTGGGGTCGCGTCTGCCACGTCTGTTTTCTGCTGGACCTCACTGTCTGTTTCTTATCTTCCGATTGATTAAAGATGTTGTATCATTTCACTCCTCTTCTGTTAACTTGTCCCTGTGCAGTTTTCCTCTGTTCAGTTAGTGGCTACCCGAGTCTGAAGGAAGGGTGGCACCATGCATGGGGCTCTGGCCCTGGACCCCGTCGCCTTCCCAGGGTCCTGTCTCAGACCAGCTGTCCCCAGGCCTGGGGCCTCCCACTGCTTATCAGACATCCTTGGCCTGCCTTCTATTCAGCCCCTCCTTTCTGTGCTGTTCTGCAATGCTTCACTGTGCCATGTGTCTCCTGGGCCCTGGTGATTTGGTGGTTGTTTCTGAGATGATTTCCTTTCTCCCTTCTTTCCCCTCCTGGTGCTATATACTGAGCTTCTGCTGTGCCCGGCCCTTCTCTCAGGGCCCCGCAGGAACCCCCTCCAGATGCAGGGGGGCAGGTGCTGATCTGTGTGGCCCCCAGGTGACACTCCAAGGGGCGGAGATGGCTGCTGAGCATCATGACTCTCTGGTCTCCTGGTAAAAGGCCAAATGCAGCATCGGCTCCCCAAGTAAATATGGTTCTCATGTTTTTATTAGGCAATTTCACACACAGGCGGGTGAAGTTAGAGCAGTAATGAGCCTCTCCACCCACTCCCCAGAGGCTGTGTCGGCCACACGGCTCCTGGGACGTCAGGGAAACGCTGCTGACCTGCCTGACCCTGTCGTGTCCTCCACAGCCCAGTGCCTGCTGAGGCCAGTCCTGGGAGCTGAGCCCTTGAGGTCACCCAGCAGGAGAGGAGCTAGATGATAGCACGGAAACCTGGACACAGCACCTTGGCCATCAGAGGGTGGCATCAGCTGATGCTTGTGCCAAAGGACTTGGTCACCACGGCGGTGGCTTTTCCACACACGCGTCCTGCGCTGGAGTGACCTGGGGTGCTGGTGCTTTTGTCTTTACGTAACTGCGAGCCCACGTCTTATAAAAACCTTACAAAATCGTGTCTTGACCAGTTCTTCGTCTGTCTGTGTCTGACACTGATGCGAGTGAGGGGACAGCCTCGAGGTGGGGTGGGTAAACTGGAGGCCAGAGAGGGTTTTAGGCTCCCTCCTGCTCCGCCGCTGCCCACCCAAACGGATTGGGGTGGCCCCGGGGACCAGGCCCGGGGCGGGGCCAGCCGCAGCCTCCTCTGTGCTGTTCTGTCGCTGCAGCAGTGTCCAGCCGCAGCCTTGCTCAGCTTGGTCTTAGCTGCTGGCGTGCTGTGCGAGAGATGCACGTTGTTAAATGTGAGAGCTACAAAGGCTAGAGAAATCGGCCAGTGGCGAGCAGTCTGGAGCATCTTTTCCGGGTCCATTTTGCAGGGTGGGAGCAGCCGTTTCCCCACCTCCAGCCCGTTCTAGCGTCCGGCGCATGTGGGTGCCGCGCGCACATCACCTGCTTCATGCGGGTTGTGGAGTCTGAAAAGGCCAACGCTCACTTTCAGAACACTGCCTGAGACCAGCTCCAGCCACGCGGGGAGACTGGGGACGGCAGCACGGGAGCCTGCTGAGTGGCACGCGGCCAGCAGCTTTACAGATACCTGCTGCGAGGGGATACCCCGAACCCCACGTGTACCCTTCCAGGTGTGGGGTTCTCTGGGGAAAGGTGGGAGGTACCACAGCTCACTTGTTTGTTCTTGAAAAAGCCACACCTTCTCCTTATTTGTCCACTGTGAACTCACACTGACCGATCCTAAAGCCAAGAGGCTGATGTGCGTGATAAGCCTCCCCGCTCCGGCACCCGTGTGGCTGGTCTCAGAGGCCTGAGAGCTGGGCGGGGTCGGGCCTGCCGGCCGTGGGAGCTTTGCAAAGCTCAGGTTTCCAGCGTCCTCGGCCTTCCACGGGCTGTTTCGTGGGCTGAGGTCTGGACAGAGGACAGAACAGGCAGGCAGCTCAGAGCTCAGGAGCCCACACCCACCTCTGAGGGGAGGACGCTGGTTGTGCTGTTGTCAGAGCCACAAGCCCAGGACTGTGACAGCACACCGGGGCTATTGAACAAACCGCCCCCTGGGACATGCATGACGACATGGCCACGGGCTGGGAGGCTCAGCTCAGGCCACTCGGCTGTGGCAGCCGTGGGGCGTGACGTCCTGAACTGCACTGCCCCACCAGGAGTCTGTTTTTCCTGCCTGGGCTGAGCCGCTGGACTTGCTCGACCTGTTGACAAATCATCTTGAACCCCCCGAAAGAGAAAGCCTCGAGTTATGTTTGTATGAGATTTTGACTTTGTAGGTTAACTTTTATTTCATTCAAGCCTAAAATCACCCCTCCCTCTTGAAAATAAGGGAGGTTTCCATTTTAGATGAAAGATTAGCCAGAGACTCCTTGACTGGCAGAGGTCACATGGTGAGGGGTCCTAGGTGACCAGGTGGCCTGTGTCGAGGCTTAGCCTCAGGCCACGTGAGGCCATGCCAGTGGGAAGGCTCGTCTCCTGCAGGGCTGCCACACAAGGTCCTGCTCTTGCATCTGCTGGGGCGGGGAGACAGTGCCTGCAGAGCAGCACCGGGACTTGGCTGCAGAAAACCAAGCAAACGGCTTTTGAGAAGCAATGAAATGAACGGTTTTTAGTGTAATTTTAAAAAAGCCATAAGATTGCCAAGAAATGGCCTTTTGAGACGTGGGGACTGGCCAGTTCACCACATAGACCCATCGATGACACTATATCATGAAGCAATTCCTCTTTCAATGCTGGTCTAACTTTGCAACCCAAGGAAAACCCAATCGCTCCACTGGCTGGCAGTGTCCAGCCGCCACCACTTGCTCTCAGCCACATCGGACCGCACTGGTCACCACTCGCTCTAACCAGGCGCCTGGTGGCTGGGAACACCCTCCTTCGTGCAGCCCCAGTTTCTGGAGCCCACCTAGGTCCAGGTGATGGATTTGGTGGGGAGCCCCACACTCTCATGACTTACATTGTAGCCAAAAGCATATAATAGCAAACAAGCAAAAGTGGGCCATCGTGGTAAACAACACGAATGCTATGAGGGAAGACACAGTGTGTTGGGCTGTCATAGAGGAAGTGGTCAGGAAACCCCTTGGATGGGGCAGCAAATGGGCACCAGAGAGCAGAGTGCCCTTGTGGCCCCAAAAGGAGTGACCTTTGTGAGTGTGAAGTGCAGCAGGAAGCCAGTGTGCCTGGAAGAGAAAGTGCAAGAGGAGCTGACGGGAGCCGCCCGTGCACACAGCCACCCTGCAGACAGACAGACGCCCTCCAGGCGAGCAGGGACCTTGGAGGTCCTGAGGGTTGTGTCTGCCGAGCCCCAGAGTCCAATCATGAAGTTTCGTTTAATAGGAGACCCCACATATAGGTGGGACCCTAAACAGTGCATCCTCAGCAGCAGGGTGGATGAGAACTAAGTCCTCCTCAAAGAGAGGACCACGAGAACACTCCTGTCTCTGTCTCTACCTGGTGCTGCGTGGAGGGCAGAAAACCTCTCCTGGAGAGCCACATGACCCATATAATCCTCAAAACTTCTAACATGGAAAATTGGATTACACTGGCCCCTGAGCAGTGGTGCTCCCAGACCATGGGCAGAAGAGGCAAACAGACACCCTCTGGAAGAATGCAGGCTGCTTCCTGTGGAGAGAATTCATAGAACAGAAGCTCACATTCCCAGAATTTCACAAAATGCACAGAGAGGGCATCATTAGCAAGACTTGATAGAATCAGACCCCAAAAGACTTAAGATATTGGTAATAGACACAAAATATAGAATGAATTCATTTTTGAAAAGGACTAGAAATTACCAAGAAGAAATTAGAAAAAACTGGAAAATGTGACAGCCAAATCAAGAGACACCAAGGAGAACGTGACCTTGCATAATGGGGTCTCAGACGGAGATGGGGCCAATACCCCACACTTCTTGACAAAGAACAAGCCCCAGATGCAGAAGCCTAGCACATCCCAATAGAATGACAAGAGCTCACGTCAGGACACATTGCAGTGAAACCGCAGAACTGCGGAAGACAGGGTGGTACGAGCCACTGCCCGCTTCCCAGCAGCAACAGTGGAGCTGAGAGCGTCGAATAGTCTTCACCATGCCAAGAGGAAATAACTGTCAACTTGGTTGAGTGTGTACCTAGTAAGACTATCCTTCAAGAAAGAGAACAAAATCAAGTCATATTAAGATAAAACAAACCTCTCTCGTGCATGGCTGCTGTTTGCATCTTGGCACAGCTCACATTTGGGGTTGAATAATTTTTTGCTGTGGGGATGTCCTGTGCGTTGTAGGGTGTCTACAACGTCGCAGTAGCCAGTAGCAGACTTGCCCCAGCTGAGGACCTCTGCTCTGGTGGATAAACTTTAGGGAGCAGGAAAATGATGCCCGTTGAACAGACTCAGATGCAGAGAGGAACGTTGAGCAGAGAAAAGAATAAACGATGACCATGTAAATGAATAATGGCCAATGGGTGGGTTTCTTAAAGCATGTAGGATTTTGAAAAACAGACATTCATAGCACACAGTATAAAAAGAAACATACGCAGTTTAAGAAGATTGTCCGGCGCTGTGGCCAGAACGCCTGGTCCTCTTGCCTCAGACCAGCACCTCATGTGCTTTAGGAAGAGTCTTCTGTGACTCTCTGTACACAGAGACCTGATCCTATAAGTCACCAGTGCTGGAAATCCCGACTCCCATGAGCACCACAGTGAGGCCACGCCCCACCGTGTGAGCTTCAGTGCGGGGTTCCCATCGGTGGGCTCGGCACTAACTCTGGCAGAAGTCGTTATGACACGTGATAGAGCGTACTGCTGATCTTGTTTTGGGATCAAGGAGACAGGCAAAGGGGAACAGGCTGCCCAGGGCCTTTAGGGAAAAGCTCTGGCGCTCTCAGGCTGATCTTCGTGGCTGATGGGATGTCTCGGCCTGGGTTGGGCCATTGGGATTCCTGGGACTGAGAGACGGAATGTACAGATGGGCAACACCAGACCATCTATAACAACAGGACGACTCCTCACCGCCTGCCACGGCCGGTCCAGGAAACCAAACAATAGCCCGTGGCAGCCGGCCCGAGAGAGCCAGGACGTGGTCAACAACTGCCAGCTTCCCTAATTCTTGCCCCACTTCCAACTTAGGACCAATCAGAGAAAGCCAGAAGTGCCCCTAACCCCTCAGGAGGACGCCCCGCTCCTGTCTGGCCACACCAGCTTCCCCAGGCCCACAGCCTCGGTCAGGCACACCTGAGGGAGCTGTCCCCTCTGCCTCCCTCGAGCCTCCGCCCTGCAGAGGGGATGGGGCCGATGCCCCACTACACAGGCACACAGCCCCTGTTCTCACGTGGGTGGTCTCTAAGAAAGTCAGACTGGGTGATGGGACCCCTAGGGGTTTCCCAAGATGGATGAAGTCACCCGTCCACCAGGACTTGTACCAGACTGTACAGCAGCTTTCTCCATAATAGCCAGAGCTGGAAATAATGCAGGTGTCCACCAAGAGGACAGTGAATAAACGAACCACAGTGCCCTCACACCATGGGTGCCATGAGGAAACAGGTAAGAAGGAACCCCTGATGTGACAGACTTGTGGACGGTCCTTGAAAGACTCCAAAGCCCTCTGGGTGACAGACGGGTGCGGGGCTCACCGGAGGGCAGAGTTACTGCTCCGTGTCTTGGCCTGTGGTGTCTGTACACGCAAACATCCCTCAGACTGCGTGCTCACAGCTGTGCATTTTACCACACGTGGATTACACCCCAAGAAGAAGATACCGAGAGGCGCCCTCCAGGTGAAGGGCCAGCCCCACACGGGGAGGAGGGCTTGCATGCATCTAGGCGCTACTTCCCCCCTTGCACATTCCCCACACGGGTACACAGAGCTATCCTTCCCTACGTACCCTCGATCCCTCGTAACCTGCAGGACAGTCCCACATTCTGGGCTGTGGCTGCTGGGTGCCTCGTACGTACCTGGAAGCAGCTGCTATGGGTCCGTCAGCTGAAGTGAAGGAAGTCCCGGCCCTCCTGCAGGTGCAGCGACCTCAGATTGTCCTCAAACGCACCCCCTGTGAGGTCCTGTGGAAGGAACAGCAGGTTTGGCTCCATCCAGGCCTCCCCTGGCCCGAACTGGAGCCCCTGCAGATGTTCCTGAGGGGGCCTGGGGTTTGGGGGCGCCTGTGGCCACTTGTCGGGTGGTCCACTATGAACTTCTGCTCCACTGCTAAGAGGGGAGAAGCCAGAAAGAGACAGAGGGCCAGGAAGGGAAACTGCCAGCGGGTGGCCACAGTGTCCTGCCGGTCACCAATGGGAGGTGAGGGAGGGTCCTCTGAAGCGCCCCCACCAAGCCTGGCCTAGCCCCTCCCTGCAGAAGGCAGTTGACTCCCACTGTGGGGACTCAGGGAAGGAAATGACTCTCATGGGCAGTCTCTTCTGCTCACCCCTTGGTCCAGGGCAGACCCGGCTTCCCTCCTCCTGACTGATCATGGATTCTCCACCATGGCCCCCCACCTCCTCTGCAGGGACCAGAAGTGGGAGGTGGCCCCTGGGGACAGAACCTGTGACTCAACAGCCAGCTGTCGACAGATCCCCTCCTGCTCTGACCCCCTGTCCGTGTAGTGGAGAAAGGGCTGTGACCCCACACAGGAAGAGCTGGGACCTTGTAAGGAGGGTCAGGACCCCAGGAGGCAGGCTCCATCCAAGTCTTACATGTGACCCCATAAGGTCCTTGAGGTGACCCCAGGGTTGGTTCTAGACTCAGGGGGCTTCAGGTTGACCTGTGCACTGGTGCTGGCTTTGGCCAGGCCACCTAACCCCAGCCCCCAGCCCTCATCCCTACCCCCTAACCCCTGGCCCTCCTGCATGGGGCCATGGCAGGTTTTGGGGAAACACTTGTAGGCTCCCAGGCCCATCCCTCACCCCAGCACTTGCTGCCCAGGCCCGCACCTGCCTCGATGACTCAGCTCCCAAAAACTGGACCGGCACGAGGGTGGCATGTCCCTGGCCTCTGGCAGGACATGGGAGGGGCCCGGTGCTGCAGCCACCGTGCTCATTCCCATTGGGTGTCATCGTCTGTCCTTGGACCTAACATGGGGAATCAGTCTGGCCACGCCCACCCTTGGCCTTGGCCATTACTACCTAGCATTGCTAGAAATATTTAAATGGAAAACTGTCTACCTGGAAAACACCTGAAATTTCCTCATTGTATCATCTACCTGCTGGCTGTTCTCAATTCCCCTTCTCTCCTCCCATTCTCTCTCTGCTCCCGAGTTTTTTTATTTTAGTGAGGAAGACGAGACCTGAGCTAACATCTGTGCCAGTCTTTCTCTACTTTATATGTGGACACCACCACAGCATGGCTTGATGAGCGGTGTGTAGGTCTGCGCCCGGGATCTGAACCCATGAATCCCCGGGCTGCTGAAGTGGAGTGTGCAAACTTAACCCCTATGCCACCAGGCTGGCCCCTCTCTGCTCCCAAGTTTTCAAAGGAAACACACCTGTGTGCAGGGCCAGCCCAGCTGAGTGTGGCCCAGAGGTCATTTATAACTGCTGGCAGAGCTGGGCTCTTGGAGGGGCTGGTGGGAAAGGGAGGCCTGTCCCTGACTGGGGAAGGGGACTGCCCCTTAACAAGACCCCCCTGAAGTTAGACTGACACATCCTGCCAAGAGAACGAAAAGGCCAGACAGAAAGCCAACAGAGGCTCAGAATCCAGAAGGTAAGAGAACTCCTGCAAGTGGTCGGGAGAAGACAGACAATCCCCTAGACAAATGGGGGGAAGCTCATTAGAAACGTCACAAAAGAGGACACCTACCTGCCCAGCAGATACGGGAAAGCGCTGGGCCTCGACAGGAGTCAGGTGTGCATCTTAAAACCAGAGAGAGACCCGCATCCCAACTGGGGGATTTGAAATCTGGTATCCAGTCGATGAGCCCGTGGCCTGGGACCCCACCCTGCCTCTGGGTGTCCCCTGGCCTGGCCACCTCGTGGGGCATTGTCTAGTGAAGTGGAAGACACAGCCAGCCCCACAGCCCCCCCTTCCACTCCCAGGATCAAGCCCCAGAGAAACGGTGGGTGAGCGCCAGGACATATTCACAGCAAAGCGCTGGGAACCAGCTCCCAAAGGCCTGGTCACGGCGCCGAGCACCACGGCGACATTCACACAGCTGACTGCCAAGACGCCAACGAGACTGGACAGTCGGCCTCACAAACATGAGGCGGAGTGACATCAGACCTGAGAGAACAGGCGTGTGATTCCATTCACACGAACTACAGACACCGGCGAGATGACCCCATGCGGTCTGGGAAGTGTGCACACACAGCCCCGCGAGGGGCAGCAAAGCACGACACCAACGGGACAACCCTGGGCGTGGGGGAACTGCTGCGGGGCTGGGTCTTTTTCTTGATCCTCGTGGGGCTGCTCAGGTGAGCACTTTTCTAGAGCAGACACCCAAAGAGTTTTTCTTAAAGGGCCAGCTAGTAAATATTTCTGGCTTTGTGGTCATATGTCCTCTGTGTTCTAATAAACCTTTATTTGCAAAAGCAGCTGGTGGGCCATGTTTAGGCCATTTTCTAAATGTGTTAATAGTTCACAATAAAAAAGTTTATTCAAAGAAAAACTTGAGAAAAATTTTGAAAAAGAAGAATAATGAAGGAAGACTAGCCTAACGAATGGTAAACATTGTAAAGCTACAGTAAATAATGGTGCTGGTACACGAACAGACACATCAGGAGAAAAAGACCAAGAGTCCAGAAGTAGATCCAAACGCATATTCATATCCAACATACGAAGACGGCATTTCATTACTGAAAAAGAAATGGATTACTCAGCAAATGATGTCAGGACAAGTGAGTACCCAAAGGGAAAGAAAAATCTGGATCCTTACTGTAATCTTTATAACCAGATAAATTCCAGTTGTATTGAAGATATAACAAACAATAGGAGCCTGAGAAGAAAACTAGGAGAATGTTTTAAAATTTCACAATGAGGAGTTACTGTCTTAGAATGAAGAAAACCCATAGAAGAAAAAAAATCAATTAATTTGATTATATCTAAATTAAAAATTTCTAAATGGCAAAAATATAAATTTAGTCAAATGACACACTAAGAAAAATTTGCAACATATCACAGACAAGAGGCTTGTTTTTGTTATATAAAGAAAAATACTGACAGACCAATAGAAAAATGGGTGAATGAAAAGAATAGATAATTTACCAAAAGAGAAATAAAGATGCTTATAAACATGTGAAAAGACACACTCCTTATCCATAATATGACACTGCCGACTGGACTATGACCTTACTGTTTTTCACCTGTGATTCGGAAAGATGGTAGACTCAGCCGCACCATCAGAAGGGTCGCTGGTGGGAGCATCGATTGGCGCAGCCTCCAGGGACAGCAGCTGGTGGGAGGGGAACTCTGACCAGCAGCTTTTAGAAGCTTATCTCATGTACGTAGCCCCCTGAGCAAAATTACGATATTCACTGCAGCATTATTTTTAATAGCAAATGACAAGAATGGCCTACAGGCACCTCGATGAGGAACTGGATAATAAATGTACGAAACATCCATGTAGTCGAACAGTTACAGGTGTCTCAAAAATGAGGCCCATGTGTCCCCAAAAGCTCCTCTTTAGAGAGCTCTTCCAGCCAACGGTTGGAGCAAGGGTGGTGGGAGGCCGCCGAGTGTCCCCCGTGAACTCTGGCCACAGCTCCTGCCAATCAGAACCGACCCCGGGTCTGAGCAAGCCCGAGGCTTCCTGCCTCCTCACAGGAGACGCAGGTTCAGCCATGGGGCACGCCAGCCGGTTCCTGAACAAACAGGTTGTTAGAAAATAAAGCAGATGCAAAGGTCACGTGGGCCGATGCAGCGCACGGGCCTCACTGGGTCTGGGTTCCAGCCAGCAAACCATGACAAGAGAAAACACGTCTACAGGGCAATTCGGGAGATTTCAACACTGAAGGGACATTTGGAACTTCTGGGTGTGATCGTGGTATTATGGTAATTTTTTTGTTTTTATCTTTTTGAGAAACAATAACAAATGAAATTAGGCTAGAATTTGCCTCAGTACGGGGGTGAGGGAGTTGGGGGAGTGGAGGACACAAGACGGTCAGGGTGGCAGGTGCACGGGGCTGGGTGCACGGGGCTGGCTTCCTGTTGCTTTGGTAATAAAGTTTCCTTGATGAGAAGATAGTAACGACAGAGTTAGATGGCACCAATGGATTTACATGGAATAATCTCCAAGATACATTACGTGAAAAAAGCAAACTACAGAAAGAGCATGTGCAGCATGCTGCCATCTGTGTGTCTGTGTCGGCTCCCTCCGGGAGAACATACAAGAAACAGGAGACCACAGAGTAGGCGACGGGGAGGGGAGAGGAAATACACTTCGCACTGAAGCCTCCTCTTCAGGAAGGGTTTCCATGGTGGGGTCTGATTCACGGCAATTTTGGGTCCCTGAGAAGTAGCCCCTTAACAGAGCCCATCTCCTCTGAAAATTAGGTAAAATTTGCGTAGAATTTAAATTTTCATTTTACATCCGCTTCTTGTAGCCTCATAATTATTCATCTGATTTCCCTGGCAACTTGGAACGCTGCTTATCTTGGCCTTAAAGAGGTTCATTCCTCTCAGGAAACTGCTTTCAAACCAGAAAACCCAAAGCCAGGTGGGGAGTGCCGCAGGAGAGGGGTCTGTTTCTGTGGCCGGCGGCCTGGACAGCCTGCAACCCTGCCTAATGGCGCCCCGGCCCGTGCGAGCCCTCCCCTGGAGTGCAGGCGGGGCCGGCCATCGGACACGGCAAAGAGGGGGGACGCCCCTGCCCGATTAGGTAATACGTTACTGTGACCTCTGTCCGGCTCGCAGACCCTGCCCCTTGCTGGCTTGGACAGAAGAATCTGCCACGTTGGAGGGCCGTGAGGCCAGGAACAGCCAGCAGAGCACTGAGGCCGTCGGTCCAACACCCTCGAGGGCTGACTTCTGTCAATCACCATCGAGTGGGCTTGGAGAGCAGCCCCCGCCCCAGCCGAGCCTCCGACGAGACCCGTCCTGGCTGACACCTCAACTGCAGCTTCGGGAGAGACCCTGGAGCTGAGGACACACCTGTGGCACCTGGATTTCTGACCCACAGAAGCCGTGAGGGAACAGACGTGTGGTGTTTGAGGCTAAGTTTGTGGTAATTTGTTATGTAGCAATAGTTAAATAATACAGGCTCAAGCTGGCAAACAGACAAACCTCAGGGTGACCAGTCGGGGCCGGCCACCTCACAGCCATGTGGAAAAGAAGGAAGTGCCCCTCCCCAGGCCATCTACAAAAACCAGCTCAAAATGGATCAAAGGCCTGAATGTAAGCACTGAAACTGTAAAGCTCTTAGAAGAAAACACAGGGGTAAGTCTTCATAACCCTGGATTTGGTAATGGTTTCTTAGCTCTGACACCAAAAACATGAGCAACCAAATTAAAAATAGATAAACTGGACTTCATCAAAATTCAACACTTGTACATCAAAGGACACCATCAAGAGAGTAAAAAGACAATCCACAGAATGGGAGAAAATATTTGCAAATGTATCTGATTGGGACACGGCTCAACAAAACTGGACAAACAGTCCAGTTAAAATATGAGCAAAAGACGTGAAGAGACGTTTTTCCAAAGAGGACATACAAACGTCCCCAAGCAAAGACAGACACTCAGCATCACTAGTCATCAGCAAAACGCCCACCAGGACGGCTGTGACACACACAGACACACAGAAATAACTGGTGTTGGCAGGGACCCCTCATGCGCCGCTGGTGGGACGTAAGGCGGGGCAGCTGCCGTGGAAACAGCGTGGCGGGTCCTCAGCAACTTCAACACAGAGTTGCCGTGTGACCCAGCACTCCCACGCGTAGGTCTACCCCCCAGAGACATGAAGACATATGTCCACAAAGAAACTGCATACGCGTGTTCACTGCATCGTTATTCAAACTGCCAAAGAGGTGTGCCCATGAGGTTTTGTTCCGTTTTTGGCTGTTTTGCCAGTTGGGGCCCATATAAGCTATCTGCTGTAACAAATTACCACAAATTGAGCATCCTGAGACCACACACATTTATCACCTCAATCTCTGTGGGGCTGAGACTCAGGACTAGCCCTGGCCACGTGGGGGTCAGGTGGGGACCCTGAGCGAAAGCCGCCTTGTGGCCATGACCAGGGGTCAGGATCCAGGCGTGAGGCCTCTCAGGGTCAGATGTCCTCACACCCACTTTCCTGACAGTTGGGCGACTTCTCCAACGTGGCATCTCGACTGAGGGGCAGAGTCAGAATGGCCTCAGAGCCTCTGCTCCCAGCCCCCAAGGGGCCCTTTTTGGGGCTACCGTCCCCGCCTGACTCACACGGCTCAGGACGTCTACTGTCCTGAAATGTCTGAGCTCGGGAGGCGATGTCCCCTGTCAGGACACACCGCCCTGGCACAACGCGCCACTGCACCTGGACCAGCCTGGCTGGGCCCCAGCGCAAGCCCCCGTGAAGGCGCCAGGACCACACCGTAAACTGCAATTAGAAGCTCTGAGTAAATTCCCATCAATGCAAAAGGGGATTGGGATGTTAAACAGACCAGCCACCAACGAAGAGGGTGCTGCCCTCTCTGCCTCCCTCCACGGGTCTGTCCAAGTCCCAGTGCACACGCGGGATTTCCTCTGAGGCCCTGCCCAGTGGTGCAGACAGAGCTCTGTGTGAACTGTGTGGGGGCAGCATCGTCTCCACTTGAAGTGGGGCGAGCAGGCGTGCCCTGCTTGTGTCCTCTGCTGTCATCTTACTCTGGCAGAATGAACACCCATCTGCCTCCCTTCTGCAAAAGCCACTGCCTCCAGGAAGGCCCCTGCCTGGGTGCCCTGGTTGCTGAAGTTCCAGTCCAATCTCCCACATAGGTTGGAAGCTGCTGGAAGTGGTGGCCTGTGTCCCCATCTGTGTTCTCCCACGACCCACCATGGCATAGCACAGGGCCTTCTCACCCATCGACCACCGTCCCCTCTTGGGAACCCTTGGGCACAGCCCTGCCCCATGACTTGGGTCCCCGCAGTTGGAGTGGGTTAGACTCCAATGTGAAAGATGACACCTTACATGTATATATATGAATGAATGAGAATGTATCTTTCTGCCCACGGGGAAGAATTTCCTAAACGAGACACTAACTGTTGATTACAGAGAAAAGTTGATAAATGCACTGCATTAGAAATAAGTTTTTCTGGGAAGAACCTGTGAAAAGACAAGTCACAAGTGGGAGAAAATATTTGTGGCATGCTAATCGACAAAGGACTAGAGCCGGACTCTCCAAGGAGCTCCTGAAAATCAACAGGAAGAGACCAGTGGCCCAGCAGGGACGGACTCGGTCCTGAGCGAGCCCCCGTCGGGCGGGAAAGGCTGAGACGGGCCCACGAGTGACCCCCGGGCAGCGTCACCAGCTGTGTGCCTGGTGGCATCTTCTGAGACCTGCTGAGGGGCAGAGACCCTTCACTTCCTCTCCAAAGTCATGAGAATGCCACGGCCTTGCTCTCCCATTGCCAGCTGGAAATAACCTGGACCCACTGACAGTTTCATCATGTGACACTCGCACACAGGACGTTACTCAGAAAACGACCCAGGTACAGGGGTGAACCTGACCCGGGTGAGCGAGACCTGGTCCCAGGGCCTCTCACTGTGGGTCACCACGGAAAGCCCGGAGCCAAGAGACATGCACAGCACTGCCTGGCCCCCGTGTCCACTGACCACAAGAGAAAAAGGTGAGGATGTGATGGGAAAACTCGTGGGACAGAGGTGGCCGGGGGCCGGGGTTGCTTGGTGGGAGGGGCCTCTCAGCGACTGCTTCATCCCCCACGGCTTTACGGCATTTTGCACACACTGAGTCGCTGGCAGGAGCATCTGGGGAGGATCTGGAAGCTGGCTCAGGCCTGGCACTTGGCAAGTTTCCAGTAAATATTGCTTTTACAGAAACGTGACCCGTTTCATCAGGGCACCATGCCGCCTCTTCCCCCGACACCCCAGGCGGCCCCAGGCCTGGCTGGAGGTAACCCTGTTGTCCCTTGTCCCCCACCCCCATGCAGGTCACCCTCCTGGCCCCCAGGGCAGCGGTCACCACCTCTCATCCTAGCCCAGGGCCTCCTGGTGGACGTGAGACAAGAGCTGGCCTGGAATGAGGACGTGGACACGGTGGCTGCACACTGGATGTCCCAGACCTCGTGACCAGGGGCTCGTCCCAGCCACGTGGCATCACGCTCCCACGGCCGCAGCCCGACACTCACCAGCTTCACGCAGATGACAAAGGGCGGCCGCGCGGCTCGGAAGTGCAGGATCGGAACCCGGGGCTTGGGCCTTTCCTGAGACGAGAGATGGGGCTGTAGGCTCTGCTCGGCCTCACTCCACGCTGGTTCCTCGAGGAGCGCTGCCGCGGTGGGTGTGTGCCACCTGCGGCCCCTGTACCACTCACAGCTGGACGTGCTCAGAGGGGCACCCAGGTCACGGCCTCCTGGGCTGGACCCGGCATCCACTCCCACCTGGTCACTTACGGCCGCCACAGAACCACCCCCGGGTGGGCGGCAGAGAGACCCAGACCTGAGCAGCGCTCTCCAGCGGGGAGACAGGGCGGGCACAGGCCGCTCTGGGGCCCTGGGGACCCCCAGCAGCCTGGGGGCTGCATCTCCTGGGCCTAGCAGCCATCTGGGCCCAGGAGGCCTTTCCCAGGGAGGAAAGTTCTGGGCAGTGTCCACTCAAAAGGCCCAGGATGGCATCCCAGAGGTGGGCCAGGTGTGGTGTGGGGACCCCCTGAGTGTGACCAGGGCCTTCTCTGGGGGGCTCCCTGGGGCCCCCACACACCTGAGAGTCCTCGTAGCAGTAGAAGCCCTTCTTGATCTTGTTCTCGTCCACGTCACAGAAGGCGACCACCTGGGGAGGACACAGGATACCAGCCTTGGGGACAGTGGGGGACAGTGCGCTGGACAGGGGGAAAGGGAGGGATAGAGGGGGCCCCACCTTGCACCGTGACCCTGCCGTGAGGCTGCGGTAGAGCCGGCGACCCTGCCTGCCCGCGTTCCAGATGGTGAAGGACGCCCAGTGTGGCAGGGCCCGTTCTTCTAGAAAGCGGACACGGTGGGTCCAGATGGTGGTCCTGTGGGGGGAGAGGAGGGCAGGACCCAGGTGGGCAGAACCTCCAGCCGCCCAGACCTTCCTCCTCACCCACCCCTGTGCCCAGGTGTGCACGGCGCCCCCATCCTTGTCCCCACGGCCCTTGTCCACCCAGCACTCATCCCCCCAGGTCCACTTCCCCCCCAGTCCATGTCCCCCGGTCCTTGTTCCCATGGCCCTCATCCCCCTCCCTAGTCCCCCTGGGTCTAGTCCTCATTCCTTTGGGGCTGCTGGATGAATGAGTGAATAAATGAACCAGTGACCCAGAGCTGTGTGGCCAGGGTCGTTCTGCCTCGCCCACCCTCACGGCCCCACATGGACCCCAGAATGTGCTGTTCTCACGTCCATGCCCTCAGGAATTGTGGGGGACACCAGGCACAGACCTGGGGAGCCTGAGGGAGACGCAGCCGCCCTGATGTCAGGCACCTGCCACTGTCGTCAAGGTGAGAGGAGGGGCCTGGACATGACGCACGAGCCTCCACGTGGCTCCATTTCCCGTGGAAGCTGCCCAGACGGCCGGGTCGTCTTCTCTACGTTGGAGACCCCCTCTGTCGACCCCTTGCTACATGTAGAGCTGGAGGTCCAGGCCCGGCCACTGCGGTTGCAGCTGCCCGAGCCCCAAGGGCAACAGGCAGACCAGCACACTCAGCTTTTTCCAGTTTAATAGGGTCAGATGCACAGAAGGGCCTGTTGATCCTTCTGGTCCTGAATCACAGACGTGAAACCACCACTTAAGAATGTGGATGGTTACGAGGGAATTGCTGTGGGTGCGCAGTGGACCAAACGTGACCCTGAGCCTTCTCTCCCAGAGAAACCATCATACATAAGGAAGGGTGCACAGCACTGTGTAAGCCCACAGCTTATACCTGGAAGCTACTGTCCGCAAGTGGGGCCTTGTCTCAGACCCTTCCTGTGACAGGCAGCCTCGACCCCAGATGACAGCTCTACCCCGGCAGGTTGCTCTCAGGCCAGGCCCCAACCCCTCTGCAGCATGGGGTCAGGACTCCCGTCCTGGTCTGTTCCAGCCCAGGGCCCGGGCGCAGGCGTTGAGCCTGCTGTCCAGCAGCCATCGCCCTGGTGCCTTCGCTGTGGCGACCACGCGTCCCGAATGCCCCCCTGGGCCTCTCAAGGGAGCAGTTCCTCTGGGTGGAGTTTGGGCCACAGACAGGCGACACGGTGACGCCTGTTGTAATAAAACGCCAGTGCTGGGTGAGCGACTGACAGGGTCAGCCTTCCCACGGCCCAGGTGCTGACTGCTGGCACCCCTGGGCCTGTCCACCCCACCTCCCGTCCTAGACCGAAACATTTCAGCTAGAGCGTTTCAGTTAGTGTGCCGAACGGCTGTGTGTGTGCGGGGGTTACTGGGGCTCAAGAAAGCAAATAACTCCCTAATCCTGGCCATTTAGCACTTCATTTCTGGACACACTCCAACTCAAATAAAATGCCACCCCGTACAGCCACGCAGCGCAGCTTTGGCAACATCCAAGAAAGTGAAAGAAGTTTCTAAGAACAAGAGAACAGTGAACTTCATGCAAGTGAGTTCTAAGCGACTTGGGAAATCCCGAGGGCAAGGGGGAGACAGCAGCTGCGGGTAAAGTCCTGTTCAACCCTTCCCCTTTCAAGTGGAGAACGAGAGGGGACGGCCCAGTGGCAGGGTACCGTGTGGGTCTGTGGTCCAGGGGGTGTTGGCCCGGCTGACGGGATGTGCCCCAGGGTCCCCACCAGCTGGGACGTGCCCGGCGCTCTGGGGTCCCGCAGGTCTCAGCCTCTGCTCTGGGTGCTTCCTCTCCCGTTCCTGCTTTTTAATTATTTTTGTCAGCACAGTATCTGCCACTTCTGTGACTTGTTTCTCTTGTTTTTTTTTTTTTGTAACTTTTTGTTTATTGCAGTAACATTGGTTTACAACATTGTATAAATTTCGGGTGCACATCATTATACCTCCACTCTGCATAGGTTACATCATGTTCACCACCCAAATACTAATTACAACCCATCAGCACACACATGTGCTGAACTATCCCTTTTGCCCTCCTCCCTCCCCCCTTCCCCTCTGGTAACGACCAATCCAATCTCTGTCCCTATGTGTTTGTTTGTTGTTGTTATTATCTACTACTTAATGAAGGAAATCATACGGTATTTGACCTTCTCCCTCTGACTTATTTCACTCTGCATAATACCATCAATGTCCATCCATGGTGTCACAAATGGCAGGATTTCATCATTTCTTATGGCTGAGTAGTATTCCATTGTGTATATATACCACAGCTTCTTTATCCATTCGTCCCTTGATGGGCACTTAGGTTCCTTCCAAGTCTTGGCTATTGTGAATAACGCTGCAGTGAACACAGGGGTGCATGTTTGCTTTTCTTCTTAACCAGTCAGTTCTCTTCAAATTGACGTGCAGGATCAATGAACCTCCATCAAAATCCCCAAGGTTCTGTGGACGTTTACGAGGACATGAGATGGCCCAGAACAGCCCTCAAGGGGACCAGAGCTGCAACCAGGACGCTGCTGACAGCCTCAGGGGTGAGGGCAGCCTGGGGCCGTGCATGGGATGTGCCGACCCAGGGATGGACCAAGCTGAGCAGGGAGGATGCCTCACCCATAACGGCCCCCATGGGGAAGGACGGACCTGACCCCACCTCTCACCGCCTGCGGCACGGATTCGGGGGACTGTGGGTCTAAACGTGAAAGGAAAACGAGGCCCGAAGAAGCGTGCCCGCCAGAGCCTGGACGCACCTGTCTGCGCCCCGCGGCGTCTCAGGTGGTCTCTGGTCGGAAAACACCCGCACACGACGAGACGATCAAGTTCAGAAACTGCCAGGAAGACACATGTATCGTGGGCAATAAAACTCCTCCTGAGGCGGCGCCGTCTCCTCAGGAGCCCCGGGCCCGCTGTGTTCTGTAGTTCTTGGTGAGAACACTGTTAGTGTCCTTCACAATGCTCTCTCCACCCGCTGCGAGGAAGCAGTGTCCTCGAGCGAGGGCTGGCGGTGCAGAAGCCAGTGCACAGGTTTCCCCAAACCCACAGATGGGCATTTCCAGAACTTTCTGGAAGGAGCCGTGTGTCAGGGACACATCACTGTGCCAGGAGACAGGCCCAGAGGTCAGGACAAGAGGTAGTGGGGGCTGGCAGTGGGGCGGGATGGCCCCTCAGCAGGCGGGAGGCAGAAAGGCTGGGAGGAGACAGTGGCGCTCAGGAGAAGTGAGGCCATGTGGGAATGAAGGTGGATGAGCCACAAGCAGCAGCCAGGAGCCCGACCTTGAGGCTGAGCAACAAACGGGTTTTCAGAAGGAATAGGCAGGACGCTATCCTTTACATAACATCCTGAGGGTGTGAAACAGCGACATCACACACGGGGGAAAGTGCGAAGAAACGGGTGAAACAGCACGGCCTCAGCTCCTGGTGGGCAGGAGGGGAGGGAGGCGATGTTTCGTGTTAGAGACATTACTCCTTTAGGCCTCCGGATGTCTGCAGTATTGTAGTGAAAACTGTTCAACGATGTAAGTGCTGACCGTTCTCAATTTAAAATAAAAATGACAAGAATCAGGGAGCGCTCTCAAATGGAGGGCTTTTTGGGAAAGACTGAAGGAATTCAATTCTTGACAAGCCTGAGGGTGTAATTAAAGCTGATTACTCTGAGGTTTTGCCACTCACAGCTCAAACACTTTAATCCAATACAGAAACTAACATGAGATCACTTCTTTTGAGTTGTGGGTGGCAAAGCCTCACGCTGCAAAAAAAGAAAAAAAAAAGGTTTCAACATAAAAGACAGATTTATCGCACGCAAACGGGGGAGGATGCGTGCGGCAGAGCCCTCTGGCCTGCTGCCTGGTCCCTACAAGACACATGGGCACCTGCCACACTGCGGGCAGGAAACTGCTGTGGTCACCACCAAAGTCATACAGAAAGTCCCTTCACTTGAACTGGCTTCACAGGAACTCAAGGTGGGGTCACATGTATGCGAACCTTTGCAGCATTTCACAGCCCTGTGGAAGATTCCGGATGTCCCAGCATTTCACAGCTCTGCAGAATTGTGCCCAGACGACCACCTTAGTACTTTATTCACACAGAGTTTCCAACTCCATTATGGTGGGGGACAGATTACTTTGTTGAAGAAACACTTGTCAGATATTTTTAAACTTTTAATGAAGGTATAATTTACACAGAGTGAAGTGCAAGGATCTTAAGTGTGTGTACGGTCAGTGGGTTATAACACACATATATATACATGTGACCCACCCCTGTCAAGATGCAGAGCAGTTCCATGTGCCTCCTTCCCCAGAGAAAGCCAGGGTTCTAGTTTCTCTCGCTGTGGACTGGTTCTGCCTATTGGAGACTTCACATAAGTGGAATCCCACGGGAGGCATGCTTTTGTGTCTGGCTTCTTTTACTAACCATACTTTTTTGACATTAATCCACATTCTTACAAGTATCAGTAGCTTGTTTTCTTTTAAGGCTTAGGATCCTCCCATTACAGCAAACTTGGTGTATCCATTCACCTGTTGATGGACATTGTGGTTGTTCCCAGTTCTTGGCTATTATCTGCAGTGATGTGTTGAGCAATGTTTCCATTTCTCTTGGATAAACAACTAGACATAGAATTGCTGGCTCACAGGGCAGCTATCAATTTAATTAATAAAAAATGCCAAACAGTTTTCCAAAGAGGATATACCATTCACGCTCCCAAGAACAATGCATGAGAGTCCTGCCAGTTCCGCATCCTCGCCACCATGTGCAATTGCCAGACATTCATTTCAACCCTCCTAGTGGGTGTGCAGCGGGTTTAATTTGCATCTCTCTGATGGTAATGATGAGTACTTTTTCATGTGCTCATTGACCATTTATATATTATTGCTTTGTGAAGTGTTGTGCGAGTGCAGTATTTTGCCTATTTTTATTAGATTGTCTTTTTATTATTTCGTGGTAGGGGTTCTTTATATGTATGTCCTCCATACTAGTCCTCTCTCAGATATATGTATTGTGAATATTTTCTCCCAGTCTGTGGTTTGCCTACTCATTTTCCTAATGGTATTTTTTTTTTCTTTTTTGTGAGGAAAATCAGCCTTGAGCTAACATCTGCCAACCCTCCTTTTTTTTTGCTGAGGAAGACTGGCCCTGGGCTAACATCTGGGCCCATCCTCCTCCACTTTATATGGGACGCCAGCACAGCATGGCTTGCCAAGCAGCATGTCGGTGCGTGCCCGGGATCCGAACTGGCGAACCCCGGGCCACCACAGCGGAGCATGCGCACTTAACCACTTGTGCCACCGGGCCGGCCCCATCCTAATGGTATCTTTTTATGAGCAAAAGTTTTTAATTTTGATGAAGTCCAATTTATCAATTTTTAAATGATTCTCATGTCCTTGCTAATAAACTTTTGCCTATCTCTAAGTTGTGAAGATATTCCCTAATGTTTTCTTTCAGAAGCTTTATATTTTAGCTGCTTCTGTATTTATATCTGGGATCCATCTAGAATTAATTTTTCTATATGATGTGAGATTCTTTTTTTCCCCCATATGGGTATCCAATTGTTCTGTTTGTTGAAAACATTTTCCTTTTTCCCTTGAATGCCTTTGGGGACTTGGTTGAAAATCAATGGGGTGTATATTAGTGAGTCTGTTTCTGGATCCTCTGTCTCATTGATCTGTTTGTCTGTCTTTATGTTACCACTCCATTTTCCTGACTGCTGTAGCTTCAGAGTAAGTCTTAAAATCAGGTACTGTGAGTCCTCAAATTTTGTTCTTTTCAAGGTTGTTAGGCCATTCTGGGTCCTTTGGCTTCCCACGTGAATTTTAGAAGCCAATATCAGTTTCTACAAAGAAGCCAGCTGAGACTTTTACTGGGATTGCATTGACTCTACAGATCAATTTGCCGAGAACTGGCATTAACAATACTTTGTCTTCTAATCCATGAATGTGGTATATCTCCCCATTTATATTATAGATTTTCTTTAATTTCCCTCAGCAATTTTTTTTCTGTGATTTTTAGAGCATATACACATACCTTGTTAAATTTACCCATAAGTATTTTATTTTTGATGCCATCATACATTCTTTTAAAACTGCATTTTTAAATTTTTTTTTTTAATTTTATTTATTTTTTTCCCCCCCAAAGCCCCAGTAGATAGTTGTATGTCATAGCTGCACATCCTTCTAGTTGCTGTATGTGGGACGCGGCCTCAGCATGGCCGGGGAAGCGGTGCGTCGGTGCGCGCCCGGGATCGAACCCGGTCCGCCAGCAGCGGAGCGCGCGCACTTAACCACTAAGCCACGGGGCCGGCCCAAAACTGCATTTTTAAATTGTTCATTGCAGGTCTATAGAGATTGTATGTGTGTGTTCATGCAAACATGTAAATATATATATCCTGAACTTGGATCCTGGAAAAGTTGCTAAATTATTGGTTCTGATTTCCTATGAAACATAATCATGCCATCTACAAATGATGATAGTTTTACTTTCACTTTCTAACGCTTATATCTTTTCTTTTTCTTGTCTTATTGCACTGACCTCTGTTAGGACGTTGAATAGAAGTCGTGAGCTCTCACCTTGCTTATTCCTGATCTTAAGAGGGAAAGCATTTAGTCTTTAATTATTAAGTATGAGGTTAGTTGTAGGTTTGTGTAGATATTATCAGATTGAGAAAGTTTCCTTCTATTTCTAGTTTTCTGACATTTTTAAAAAATTATGAATGGTTATTGAATTTTGTCAAATGCTTTTTCTGCAGCTATTGGGCTGATCATGTGGTTTTCATCCTTTATTCTGTTACTGTAGTAAACCATACTAATTGATTTTTGAATGTTGAACCAGATGTGTATTCATGATGTATTATCCTTTCATATGTATTTCTGAATTTGACTTGGTAATATTTTTTTTCTTTCTTTTTTAAATTGAGGTATAATTGACACACATTATATTCGTTTGGCAATATTTTGTGAATGATTTTTACATCTATTTTAATAAGGAATATTGGTCTTTAATTTTATTTTCTGTAATGTTCTTGTAGCATTTTGGTATCAGAGTCATGCTGGTCTCATTGAGTGAACTGGGAGCTCCTTCCCAACACCCAGTAGATCTTTCTCCTCTTCTATTTTCTGAAGGAATTTCTGTAAGGTTGGTATTATTTCTTCCTTAACTCTTTGATAGGATATATCAGTAAAGCCATCTAGCTTGGCTTTTCTTTATGGAAAGTTTTAAAATTACAAATGTAATTTTTATTTATACTTTAAGTATTTGTAGGATCCATAGTGATGTCTCCTGTTTCATTCTCAATACATTGGTAATCTGTATTTTCTTTTCTGTTTTAAATCAATCTTGCTAGAGGTTTGTCAATTTTATTGATTTTATTTCAAACAACCAATTCTTGGTTTTGCTGATGCTTTTCTATTGACTGTCCATTTTCAATTTCATCATTTGCCATTCTTCATTTCTTTCCTTCTATTTAGTTGCGTTTATTTGATATTACTTTAGTAACTTTTAAAAGTGGAGACTTGCATAATTGCTTAGTTTCTTCTTTTATAATATGAGCTTCTAAAGCTATACAATTTTACTGTAGACTCTGCTTTATCTAAATTCCACAAATTCTGACGTATCATTTTAACTGTCATCAAATTAAATGATTTTTGGTAATTTCCTTTGTGATTTTTTTCCCCTTGGTTGCTTAATTTCCAAATATTTTGGATTTTCAAGGTGTCTTAAGGATTTCTAACTGAATTCTATGTGGTCATAAAACATACCCTGTGGATTTGTGATTTCAATCATTTGAAATTTATTCAGATTTGTTTTGTGGTCCAAAATATTGTCTATCTTGCACTTTATTTATTTTGTGAGGAAGATTAGCCCTGAGCTAACATCTGTGGCCAATCCTCCTCTTCATTTTTGCTGAAGAAGATCGGCCCTGGGCTAATATCCGTGCCCATCTTCCTCTACTTTATATGTGGGACACCTGCCACAGCATGGCTTGATAAGCAGTGTGTAGGTCCACGCCTGGGATCCGAACCTGAGAACCCCGGGCTGCCAAAGTGGAGCGTGCAAACTTAACCACTACGCCACCGGGCCAGGCCCTATCTTGCACTTTAAAAGAATGTGTATTCTGCAGTTGAGTGTAGTGTTCTGTAAATGTCAATTAGGTCAGGTTGGTTAATACAGATTACCCCTACTTCTGTCAATTTCTGAGACAGAAGTATTAAGATCTCCAACTGTAATTGTGGATTTGTCATTTTCTCCCTTTATTTCTGTCAGTTTTTGCTTCATGTATCTTGAAACTCTGTGATTAGGGGTAAAAACATTCAGGATTGTTATGTCCTCCTGTGAAATGACCTTTTCCCTATGTGTGCAAATCACACTTACATTGAATCAGGTTCATGACAACAAACTCCCAAACAACGATGCTCCACTAAAGCTACTGTATCAAAATTCAGATTTAACAAAAGACAAGGGAAATCAAGTTCTTTTGCTTAAAGCTGGAAAACAAAGAAGCTAAGTTTTATGTTGAACAACACAAGTGCCAAAGTTCAAGGACCTCCCAAGTTCACATGGATGCTGCAGCCTGGGACCCCCAAATGTGACAAATGGCATCACACCTGCTGTGACGGTGGACATCACAGCCCTCAGTGTAAGTGGACATTAGACCTCCCAGGACAGGGGATTCCCAGTTGAGAAGCCACAACATTCCAACAAATCTCACACCTCTGGGGAAGAACAGAGTCAAGTCAACTCCTGAAACACGAATGCATGTCCCTGCGTCAAGCTCTTTACACTCAGAGCATCCCTTAACAGACCTGTTTGAGTGCCCCGTTCTTCCCCATTCCCAAAAGTGAACAGTGTTACGGTAGCAAGGCACTGCAGGGGACAAACACTTGTAGTTGTGAGAAAAATGTAAAATGCACATACATGGGCACGTGTGCACACGCATGCACACACATGAACACAGAGTTCAAATTATCTTCTCGTCATCCTACCTGCATTTCCCTCTCCTGCCCCGTCCCCAGCAGTCAGCTTTGAGTGCACACCTAGCTGCAGCGGCTCAGGCCAGCAGCCTTGGAGCCTGGGGGACGTGTGGGCTGTGCCCGATGGGAAAAGAGGGAGAGAAGGAGTGGGCAGGCCTCCTTGTGATGCCCCAAGTAGTGGGTGTGGCTAAACCGCTATCCACGGCGGCCTCCCCTGGGCGAGGGAGGGAAGAGGGCGCCCCCAGCCCACCTGTCATCACATCAGAGGTGTGCAGGGCTCACTCTGCGAGTCCTGTCAGCTCAAAGCAAGCGAGAGCAAGACTTCAAAAGAACAGCCATGTGTGAATTCTACCTGACTTCAAAACAGTGAGAACAGACATTGGCCTCATCCCGGGAACACCTAGTCCTCAGACCCCGAGACGACCTCCTTCCGTGAAGGCTGCGGCACCCTGCGCAGCACGCTGGCCACAATTGCGGATCTCCCACCTCGTGGCAGAGACCTGCCCCATCGCCCCTGGCCTGGACCTTGGCCAGCTCCTCACAGGCCACCCCGCCCTCAGTGTCTGGAGCATCGGGACCCACATACTCGAGGATGGAGTGGGTTGCCGCGTTCGGGTGGTAGCGGTAGAGGAGGAGGCTCTGGTCCACCCGGACGACCCCGCCGCCCTTCCTGAGGTGGTTGTAGAAGAACAGCAGGTCCTCGGGCACACCCTGCGGGAGGACGAGAAGCGTCAGCTGTTGCGGGCGGCTCCGCTCACCACAGAAGACGCACTTGCGGCCAGTGCTTTCGGCCTGTGCATTGATTCAGGTGATTGCAGACGGAATTCCGTCCAGCGTCCCCGGCCGCCCAAGTCCGGCTGGATCCGCAAGGTTATAGGGAGTTCACGACGTGCCCAGCGGCCTCCAGCACACGATGTTGCTGGGCAAGAGTGACCACATGGACAAGAAAGTGCCAGAGGGGCAGACAGAAGCCCCAGCACCGCCCTCGATCACGGCCTCCTACCTGAGGAATGCCCCGCCCCCGGGTTCCGCAGAGCTTTTCACTGGGGTCCCCTGTCCCATGAGAACCCAGGTCCTCCCTCCCCCAGGCTGGAGAAGAGGAGGAAGGGGCGGCCCCACCCTCCGCTCACCAGGGCCAGGGCGCTGGGACCTGTGGCCACCCTGCTGGTCCAGGGCTGGCCCATCTCAGCCCTGAGAATGGACACCAAGGTAACTCCCCTTCACCTTCTTAAATTCAAAAGTGAAGACCGAGTGAGGGAGGGTCTGGATCGGGTTCACCCTCCTGGTTCTCAACAGCAGGTCACCAACGGTGAATTCAGCAGGCGGAGCCCATCAACAGCCAGGGCCCGGCCTTCAGTGACGCTGGGACACATCGCTCCAGGCAAAGGCTAGTTTTCTGACAGCCCAGTGGCCATTTCTCAAGGACTCCAGCCTGTCCTGCCTCCTTGGCCAGCTCTCAAACCCTGAGCTTGGTTAAGACAAGGCAGCGCCAGGGCCACGGCCATGATAACCAGTTCCAATAAGGCCCGTGGCTGCTTAGCCTCAGCCTCTCAGGGCCTCCAGGCCGCTGCCCGTTTCCAAGAGGAAGGCGGCACAGCTGGCTTTTGAGGTCACAGATGTCTCGACAGAGCCTGGTGGCCGGTCACCCTGGGGGGCGACAGGACCCTTTGGGGCCATGGCACCTCCTCACCAGCTCCATGGGCCAAGCGCATCCCCAGACTGGGCCCGTTTGCACCAGGTCTCACAGGGTCAGCGATAACCCCAACATGTCCTGTCTGCTGCTCCCTGGGCCGGAAGACGATTTAGAAGAGAGCCGCTGCTTCCTGGTCAGGCCTGGGCACTGCTTGAGGGCTGAGCGCCACCCCTGGCGGGCAGCCGGACCCGGCAGCTCCTGACTCATTCCTAAGGTCGGCACTGAAGTGCTGCGGTGAGTGCCGGAGTCTGCCCCCCGGCCGCCGTATAAACCACCACCGATCACAGGCGTGTGAGCCAGGACCTGCCGACCACCCTCATGGCCCCAAGCAGAGCAGGCTCGTCGAGAACCATCCAAACACAAACCCCAGCCTTCCAGGGCAGTCCTGTGACGACGTGGAGTGGACGCTCTCATTGCCAGCATCCGGGATGGCTGCAGAAATCAGTGCACAGCGACTCGAGGGACTACTGGGCAGTAACTGAAACAGTTTTGACAAAGACCATGATGATGTGGAAAGATTTATAATAAAATGCTAAGTTAAAAATCAAGTTTCAGGGCCGGCCCCGTGGCTTGGCGGTTAAGTGCGTGCGCTCCGCTGCTGGCAGCCCGGGTTCGGATCCCGGGTGTGCGCCGACGCGCCACTTCTCCGGCCATGCTGGGGCCGGGTCCCACATACAGCAGCTAGAAGGATGTGCAGCTATGACATACAACTATCTACTGGGGCTTTGGGGGGAAAATAAATACATAAAATCTTAAAAAAAAAAAAAAAAAAAAAAAATCAAGTTTCAAAATTGTGTTTACAGCTCTGCTCAAGATTGTCAGCAGTAAATAAAGATAAAAGCTCAGAGCAGGTGTGTAGTGATGGGCTCACAGGTGATTTGTATATTTTCCTTTTTTCTGATTTTCTGCATTTTCAAAGGTGCCGTTAAAGGCGCACTTTATAGATTTGGGAATGAGACAGAAAAGATGTTCTCTCTTCTCATGACCTGGAAGAACTTGATTCTCCCAGTTTCCTTATTTCTGGCAAAAAGAAAAGTGAGGATTTAGTTGGAGGAGGCACGGGGCATCTCTGTCCCCTGCAGGTGAAGGGGTCTGTCCCACTTAGCGCCCCCTCCCCACCGGGCTGCTGCCCCAGCTCCACCGACCGGCTCCTCGACAAGCGCGCATTCACCAAGCCGGGCTCCCCTGACCTGCCCTGACCGGCTGAAAACTGCAGAGGCCATGATGGGAGGAAGAGGTGACACGGCGTGGAAAAAGTCAAGGCAGGTGGGAGTAACTGAGCGCAAATCCTCCGTGGAGACTGCGGTTGTGGGGGGAGGAGCAGCACGGGAACTCCGAGCTGGAGCCACCCGAGGAGGGACGCACAGAGGGGTCCCGGGGGGTGAGATGGTGGTTGGGCAGGGCAGGTGCACCTCCCAGACCTGGTGAAAAGGGATCAGGATCCTGTAGGACAGGAGACACCAGCCCTTCTCCCGGCGCCTCCACTGAACGCACTCCGGGAAGGTTGTTGCACTTCACCATGGGGACGAGGGCGCAGCCTGGAGTCAGACATCTGCAGACCGCCTGCGGGTGCCGAGGACGCACAGACGGACGTCTTCACCTACAGGGAGCCCGTGTCAGAGGAACACAGAGAACCAGACACTTCCGTGGATGGAAATCCGTGGACAGAAATCCAAGCCTCCCCATAACAATAGCAACAACAAGACCCCAAACCACGAGACAGCTGGAAGGCTGAGGGCACTTCCTCTCAGTGGGCACTTCCCCACGTGGGACTGCACATCCTCAGTGAGCGCTGGAGAACATGAGGAGCCCCTCTTGAACCAGAAATCCAGTAACAAATGGAATTCGGTGCAAAGTGGACCCTTGCCCAAAAGGGGAGACAAAAAAAGAGGCCTGAAGACAGCGTGTTAGTGCTTGGCCGCCGGGGGACGAGGCGTGACTGCTCGTGGGCATGAAGCTTCTTTTGGGATGAAACTGTTCTAATGTCAGAGCGTGACGATGGTTGTACATCTCCGTGAATTTTCTAAAGCACACTGAGCTGCACGTTTTAATAAGTGAATCGTGTGACGCAGAATGTGACGTATAATGTGTATGAGTTATAATCTGAATTATACCTCAATAAACCTCTTAAATAAAAGAGGGTTGGCTGAACTCAAAAAAGAAATAGAAGAAAAAGATAAAATTATATGAGAAATGAAGACTAAATTACAAGGTCCTCAAAGGAAAACCGATTTGAATAAAAATTTAATAAGAGACATTGAAGAAATGTAGGAAAATAAACAAGAAAATGAAAATTATATAATGAAAGGAGTAAAAAGGGTTAGAGAAAGTTGTTGAAATGGAAAACGGACAAAGAGAATTGAGCCAGTGTGTAACCAGAGCCTTTGAAACAGAACAACAAAACAACGGAGCACAGCTAACACTGGAAACTACACGCCAAGAAAAGTTTCCAGAAACAGAAGCAGACCTGGTTCCACACACTGAAAAGGCCCACCAGAGCAGCTTTAAGCAAACCCCAGTGAAACTATTTGTCTTTAAACAATAAAGAAATCGTTCTCAGCCTCTGGGCAAAGTCAAGAGGATTCGTGAGCATCAGGCTTCTCAAGAGTGACACGAAGGCAACAAGGAAACGGTATTTTCAAGACTCACGGAAGGCTTTTCTTATAGCCCAAGTCTCCTTCCAGTGTCAGGGATCTAGGATCACAGTTGTGAGCGGCAAGGACCTAAGGAAGGCCAGAGCTCCGCCAGGCCCACAGACGACTGCAGAAGTTCAGCAAAAGCTGTGCTGGCGAACATGGATGTGTGTGTGACTGTAGGTCCAGGGCCCCGAAGACAGAGAGTGGGTGGGAGACGCCTCTACAAATGTTTCTCTTCCGACACAAGTGGAAATCACGCAGGGAGAAGCGGGAGGAGACGGGAACGAGGGGAAGAGAATGAGCTCATTGGTTGTTGTAGAGACAATAGGTGGGAGTCAAAATACCTTTAAAAACTGAAAAAAAGCAGACCAGAAAAGGTTTCAGAAGAATGCACAGGATGAACACAGACACCACCAGACCAAGATACAGACCTCCTTCAACACCAAGAGAAACTTAAAATACAAGAGGGGTGATGGCTTCTGGCTCTGGTTGGCTGAAGTCTGTGCCCAGGGAAGAAGGCCAGGGGCCGGCAGACACCGCGGGGCAGGTGGGGAGGAAGCGGACACAACAGGGGTTGAAGCCCGCATCTTACTGCTCCAAAGTCTTCAGAACAGAACTTGAGATGAGCAGAACAAATGGAAGTGAGGGGAAATCCCAGAGACTGAAAATGGAAGAAAATATCCCCCCCAACTACCTGACAAAGAACAATTCAACAATACAATTTTAACAACCCCTTTAAAAGTGGGCAAAAGATCTGGACACTTCATAAAATAATACACGAGTAGCCAATCAGCACATGAAAAATTGCTCCATATCATTAGTCATCTTGGAAATGCAAATTAAAATACAACGAGAAGCCACAGAACTCCAACCAGAATGGCTCCAGCTGAAAGGACTGACACCAGCCGCTGGCCAGGAGTCTGAGGGACAGGAGCTCGCCCACGGCTGGGAGCTGAGGGCTTCTGCCCTTTGGAGAAAACTTATAAAACCAACAAGCACCCCTCACACTGCAGTTCCAAGCCTGGGCCTCTTTCCAACAGATATAAAAGCATATGTGCAAGACTGCAGTGCCAGGCGGCAGTTCCTCTGAGCAGCCAGTTCTTGCTGTGGCAATGACGAGCCTCCTGCGGGCTGTTCCCACCCAAGCCAGACCTGCCCTCAGAAGAGCCATGTTCTGAACCAACAAAACGCCAGTTTTGTTACTCTTCTTCTTGTTTAAGGGCCTGAAGTGGCTGCCTCCTGTGGACATCCAGATTCCTGGCCCCGCAGCTGAGGCTGTTTACCATGGCTGGATGCCATCCTGTGCCACCATCACACCCACCTCTGAGTCTCAGACTCCCCTCCCCTCCCACACTGCCTCTGCGAGTGCATTTTCCCAACTAGAAACCCATCTACCGTGCAGGCTGCAGCTCTTGAACGCCGTCTCCACGAGCCCTTCGACCCAGCTCCTTCTCTGAGTCTTGCTGCCCTCCCCTCCCTGCCGCATCATTCGGCACGTTGACTGTTCCCGGCTGCTTCGGGCATGTGCCCCTCTCTCCACGGGCTAAGAACTGCAGCCCTGTGGCCCTGGAGGGATCTTGGCTCTTCACTAAGGCCCAGGAAGAATTAGTTGAGGAGTGGTCCCCATACCCAGGTCCAGCTCTCAGGGCACTTGTGTTCACCTCGGAAGGCACTCCACGAACAACTCTTCAGCTCAACCTGTTTCTTTGGGGAAGGCCTGAAGGAACCATGAAAACATGGTGTCGTTGTTCTGATGGTGAACTCTGCTGCCATCTGTGACCTGCCTCCTCACACCCCAAATCCCTCACTTGCTCCAGCTACGACCTCATCACAGCCCTGGTCCTGGTGCCTGATCTCTGGTCTCTGATCCATGACCTCTGATCCCTAATCCCTGGTCCCTGATCTCTGATCCCAGGTCCCTGGTCTCTGATGTCTGATCCCTGGTCCCT